AAAGCATATCTTGTATTCATGAATGGGTTTAATTTTTTACCGCACCCTTTTTCGAAGTTTTTGCTGTTCATTTGACAAAACAACACACAACTTGAAATCACTTTTTTTTGTGGGTTCGTTTTTGGTGTGATGTTTTACAAAGATTGAACACTGTTGCCATTGTAAATGTGAGTGTGTTCAAAGGTGAACTTATGTCGATTACATTTTTGATTAAATCAATGAAACAAGTGAGTTTTGATTGATTAAAATTTCATTGAAACCAATTAATTCATCAAAAAGCAGGGCGTACGTATTAACATGAATTTGACCTTGATGATATCTGAATGAGATGTTGAACTGTTCGCCTATTTTGTCAATCGATCTTCCTTTTCAACAGGGCAATTAATTAGACAAAAAAAGTTTCTTTCCACCTTCTCCATCGGTGATGCATCTCCATCGGTGAAATTCGAATTGATCATCGCAATTGTATGCAAGTCCATCGTTCAAATCAAAAAGGACTTTTACCAGTTATTATCAATATTTTGTCATTATCTCTAGCTGACAAATGATGTTTATTTTAAATCAGTATATTCCAATTTTCAAAATCAAAGCAGGTTGACGCCTCAAGTGCAACTCAATTGCAAATTTAACTGTTTTGAAAATAATCCAAGTTTTTGTATAATATATTGTTATACAAATAATATTACAAGTTTTGGTTAATATATACAATTTAAATATAAATTCTTTGATTTTCGAAAGGAACTTTGAGGATATATTTTGACTTTGAGAAAAGAAGAACACTCTACAAATATTTGGTGTTTTGAGAAGGGACTGCATATGTTTGGTGAATATTTCCTCTATGGCATAGTGTATGTATAGACTCTACAATAATTTTGCACTCATTTAGCTAACACAAGTACAAAAGTTAACTAAACGCCACCTGGGGCCATCATTTCTGCCTAAAATATCACTGCAATGTTAAAACATAGGAAGCCAGTCGCTTCCATAGTGGTCGAGATGTTCAAATTTTTATCCTTTTTTTTGCGTTATCAGTGACACTCATTCGAAGTGAACTTTCACATGATTAATGATCTTTTCAAAGAGCTGAGCAAGCGTCTGAGAAGAGAATCATCTTGTTAGTGTGAATAAAAGAGACAGTACCACACACAGAACGAGAAGGATATAGTGATAAAGCGTGAATGAGTGTATATAAATGATGGGACAACTCGTGCTCATTCAATAGGAATGGAGATTGTTTAAGTGCACTTCATGGCTTCATTCATGGTTCATAACACGATGGTGTGCTGACTCTCGGATGGCAATAGCTTTATATTCGCTAGTCTTTTGCATTACACACACAGGCATAAAAACGCGCGAGAGACGTTCCATGGCTTAGAATTATGTGAAAAGTTCCGATTGAATTTTTTACACTTCTCGCTAGCAAAGCATACGTGGATATTTTATTGGACGGTTGATTGCAATGTATATAAGTGGTGCTCGCGTCAAATCATGCCAAGTCAGTTGTTTTATGTGATATCATATTTCACCAAACACAGAATTTCGATGAAATTTCCAAAAACGAATCGATTGCAATTATAGTTTTCATGAACGAATGTTCGGGGGTGATAAAATTTTCCTATAACTTTTTTAATTTAAAATTTCATCATCATTTCTACACACATACTAGAAACTAGAGAGAGAAACACCACATTATTGAATTCAATTGAATTTGATCTAATGCATTTCTTATCGAAACATCTTTTTGTCGTTCAACAGCTATTAACAAGCAGATATATACGCTCGAATGTGCAAGAGCAAGTAAGCAAGCTTTTCAACATACTAGTGTGTTGCGTTTGCGCTTACGTTTTCCATATTGAATTCACTGTGGTTCTTAGACTCATCTAAATCCGTCATTAACATATGTAAAAACTATTAATCAGCAACATCACACGCCAAATGCAAATATCGTGCGCTACCATTCAACCCATTGTTGCTCGATTCAATCTCAATTTGGTAATGAAGAAAAATAGAATGAAAACGAGAGAGACTAGAGAAATGAAAAGAAATAGAAAGAGAGAGAGAGAGAGAATGAGAATTAAAGAACGATATGAAGAGTGACTTCAAATATGCAGATATATTGGTATGGTGTGACTCATACAACACGTTCTGAAAAAATGCACGAATAATATTGTATGATGCTAAAAACTAATAAGAAGTTTTTCGCGGGGTGATAAATCGTTTAATCTGCAGCACGTTGATTCCTTCCAAACAATGCCATACAAACAAAAACTGGAAAGAATGAAGTCATTGATTTGAGTGAGAAAAAAATACATGTATCGTTCGTATGGCGACACATTTATAAGCAAAATAGTGCCCACACATCTTCTCTCTCTCACTCTTTCTCCCCCGTTCTCTATCCCTTTATCCCGCTTTGCTTTTCACTTAGACGCATGCTGAATGTCACATTTGGAATTAAGATGCATTAAATACATTAATTATAATTCATTTCAAATCGTTAATAAAAGAATTATATTTAGAGAAAACGACCGGGAGTAAAATGAATGTACGCACATACATTTGTCATGTAATATATGGATTATTCGCCTAAAAACAAACTTCATAAATAACGGTCTGACAGTTTGTGGTGGTTAAAGTAAAACAAAAAGACAACAAGCTCGCAATTTTACAAATGATCATTGATTTTGCGATAAATGGCAAAGTTTTGGCGAATTTACTCATTTCTTTACTGTTTCTGGTGTGCCAATGAAACGAGAAATTCAGTCCAATTATCGCAACGCAAACACAGTTGCTGTTCGAAATGTAATCAGTTTCCCACGTTTTTTTTTCGTTGTTGAACAAATAAATACTGTTACATTAATCTCGTGAGTGCCTCTCTCTCGCTCTCTCTCTCTCTCTCTCTCTGGACGTTCCATTATTTGTATGAATTTTGCATAAAGAGACAGAGACAGAGTGAAATGCACGCCAAATTAAAACGAAATATAATGTGACCATTTATGGTTTAAAAATAAAACTTACCATATAGTAAGTATATGTGTTATTTTGTGGTTTTTATATCGCATCTCACTGGCTCTCTTCTCTGTTTCTTGTTTCATACTATTTCAGTGCTGTGCGGCACATTTGGATCTTTCGATTGGTGTTAGTTGTTTTGCTGTGGCGATACGCCCACGGTTTTCTCAATCGATGTGTGTATGTGCTTTTTTTAAATGTCCATTTTTGTATGTTCATTGTCAATGAGCTAATCTATTAGCGGGTTTTATTTTCTATATAATTTTTTTTTCACTTTTTATATAGAAAACGTTACTTAATGAATCAGCTCGACGCTCTTTTGCGGTTTGTTGGAATAAAACAAGCAAAAGAATAAAAAAACGAGAACCGATTCGAATAATGGTGGTAAATATTTACAACATTTTTATCGAGTTTAAATTATCATTTATCAAATATAAAGTGCCGACGCACTTTCAATTTTGGACTGTTTCGATGTTTCCATGCCATTTTGGTGTAATGAGAAAAAAACGAATGCAAATAAATGAGTCAATTGCATTTCGTTTTTGTAAGCATTGGGAAATAGTTGCGTTACCAGTGAAAAAACATTTGATCGTGTGGTTCCCTTTCAAATTTTTATTAATCACTGTGAATGACTTCTGCATGACCAATTGTAAGTAGAATGTGTGTGTGTGTTTAGTTAAAGAGTGTGGGACACGTTTAATAGATGTGATTTATTGCATGCAACTCAAGTAATTTTGATATCACAATCGAACAGCACAAAATAAAACAATGAAAGTCCAAAATCAATGTAATCGACCAGATTGACAACAATGAATAGATAATTAGTTAGAATTGGAAACAAAGTGCGTCACTGAAATTGAAATGAGTGTGCTTTGTGTGATTTGAAGTATTCATTTTCATGGTCATAATAATTTTCTTGCCGAATTTTTTTTTTGTGTAAGAACAATAGTGACTTGCCCGTGGCAGAAACGAATCGATCATATTCAATCGACATGCTATATGCTCACAAAATATTGGATATGAAATCTAATTATTGTCGGCTTGTGATGACAATTTAACACCGCAATCATTCGACCGTTTCGATATATTATATTCCTATGATTAGATTGTTAAGGAACACCTCACTACCGTTTAACAGAGCAAAAAAAATGAAATGGTCGAATTTGTGTCGCTGATGATTACCATGATATAATCGAAAACAATGTTCTTGTTTTATTTTTCTTCTATTCTTCCAATATTAACATCTGAATACATAAAATGGAATGGCACAAAATTATGACATTGTCGATGGTAATAAAAATTGCATGATGGCAACAATAAATAACAAAATATTCTTTAATAACATCAAAAAGTCTGGTGAGCGTAAAATTTATGACAGCATTTTCTTCACTTCGATTTGAGGGCATAAACCAAAATCGTGAAGAAGAAGAAGAAGAAGAAGAAGAGAAAAAAAAATTCGTGCCGGTGACACATTTTTGTTTACTTCAATAATTCAACGATTATGAAATGAATGATTCATATTCGGGGCCGAAATGATATTCACCAAGGCGCTTCGCTCTTTTTTGGAATTCACATTACATTTTTTGTCGTCTTTTCTTCATCTTCTTCATCATAAAATTGGTGTGTATGTGTATGTTTTTTTTTTGTTGTCGCTTTGTTCAAAACTTTTGCTACGTTTGCATATGGCTATGCAGATACCAAAAACTGTTGCGATGAACTTGGGCACGCATTTGAACATCGAGCAAAAATCATGACAACGTGTAGAAAAAGCCCAAAAGTGAAAACAAAAATAAAAACACACACGAACATTGTGTTGGTATGAATAAAAATGCGGCGTCAACCCAGAATCGCAACGAATTGCACTTGATTATTCAACGAGCAATGCAATCCGATTCGGAAAGCGCATAAAGAATAAGAAAACGTAGGATTTTTGGTGTATATTTTATTCATTTCGCACTCTGTGAGTGGTGTGTGTGTGTGTAAATTAAACCCACCTGCAATTTCGCTAGCCTTGATACATTTCCTTGTGACTCCATATTTAGTAGTATTCAGATAATGCTTTTTTTGTTACTGTAACGCTACTTTTTTTTCGTTGTTTTTGTGATGACGTGTTCTTCTTTTGATGCACATATACTTTTTTCTTGCCTTTAAACACAAAATTGCGAACAGCGTACAGACCTCGTTTTCTGTTTGGCGTTTTTATCGGATGTGTGTGTCTTTTTCTTTTGGTCTCTTTATTTTGATTCGTCGGATTTTACAGATTTTTTCTTGATTATTATTAGCACAGTTTGTTTTATTATTTTGTCCGTACTTTTTATGCGCTCGCTTGGTGCTTTCAGTTTTTCAACAATTCTTTACGTCGCTTTTTTGTTCGTTGCTTAGATATTCATCTATAGAATTTACATTGGCTTACTATTCGTTTGCTGCTAATGTTATTTATTGGCACTTCGAGAACGGTGATGAATTCAAGTGGAAAAAAGAATACATCTCAAATGAATGAAGAGATTATGTACACATTCACATAAAAAGTATTCTATTGGGAAAAATGAAGTTTATTCACAAGTAAATTCACAATTCGATGGAAAAATTTGTGGATTACTACTTTGAAAATGTTACAATTGATGCTAATCGGTTTAAAATAAACTTTTTTTCAAAACATTTTTTTCCTCAATTTTATTTGAATTCGAATATAGCAGCAGCCACATTCGACAAGTAACGAACTAATGAAATTGAAAAAAACACACGAATTTGATTTAATTTTCAATTAGAATTGTGAACTGTGAGCAACAACAAATGCATCGATTAACAAGCACACTAGACAAGAATGAGAGAAACTAAATGCCACAGTCAACGCAAATATCCGATTAAGCGAACAAACGCCGGTACACTGAATCGCAGTAACTGAGTGGAAGTTATGTTTTATATATAAACTATTAAGTTGTTTTATTTTTTGATCAACACAAAGACATGTGGCTCGTGCTCTCACACACATAAACAAGCACGGTACAAATCAACATTTTATAAGAATAGCAATACCAATAAGATTTTTTTTTTTGGAAGAATGTGAAAAAGTACACGACAATTCAGCGATTAAGCAAATCGAATATGACGAGTGAGTTGTATGTAGTATGCAAAAATGGAATCAAAATAACATCGCAATGGCATCGGCAGCAGTAACAGCAACAACAACGGCCAATATACAACATCAATGGCAACAAAAGAGAGTGAACATCAAAATACCTAGTGAAGTAAACAGTGGTGCCCAACACTGGCTTTCGCGTAATACACTCAAATGAAAGCTATATGCCGTAGCACAAAATCGTGAACAAGAGGAGGGAGAGAGATACAGATAGAAAAAAGAGAAACACACATAGTGAGCACGACGAATGAACAGTATATATCGGTTGCTCTTTTCGGCTAACCGTATGCGCTGTCAATTCAACAATTTTTCCCCAATACAAATAAATAAATGATTCATTTTCGTGTGTAATTAAAGATTTTCGTGTGTATTTGTATGTAAATGTGTTTTTCCCTGTTTTTTTCCTCAATTCGATTCCCACTCCACGAAATGCCAATCGCGCGAGGTCTAGTAAAAGCAATCGATTCACTTACTATAATCGTTCTTTGGCCGATCGATGCAAGAAGCGAATAATTGAAGTGAAACCCACAAAACACTTTTCATAAACACAATCATATGGTCGATAACATGATTGCGTTGTTTCCGAAATACGCTTGAATAAATTTGAGTGCGGTTATGCTTTTATCCGCTTCTATTTTATTAATAAAGAGAACATTCGATGTATACGATGATTCACTGTGTCAAAAGCATGTAACATTAATTTGTATTTGTACAAAATGTCAAATCGCTTCTCATGTAAGCGAAACGAAACAAAAACAAGAATTAATTGACAATTACGATTCGAAGCGAATATAGAAATTGTAAAATCTAGATAGACAGAAATAAAGTTGAAAAGCATCAAACACACAAATCATTTAAACATCAATAACGACAACATCACGGAAACGCGCAATGTTCAGTGGCGCGTGAGCAATTTAAAACATAAAACAATCAGTCGTAAATGGTTTTTTTTCTCTTTAATTTGCTATCTTTCTTCGTCTCTTTTTCATGTTCACTGATAAATCGACTATCTATCACATCACTTTCACTTCCTTTCGATTCATTTGACGCCCGATGTCCATTGAGCAAATTCATGCAGCAAATATATTTTGATGACGATTTGTTGTTTACATTTGAGTCAGTGGACCTTGGACAAGATTCATATCGTTCTCTTTCTCTTACACTTACCCATAACCAAAATCGGTATAGTAAAAAAAGCAGCACTTCTGTTCTGGAGCAAAAGCTTTTACAATAAAAAAAAATCCAGTTATGTTGTCAGTGTCGTCCGAAATGATGCAATCAAATGGATTTTGGCTGAAACTAACGAAATAATACGGCGTTTTCGACTATGAGAAAAGTTTTTCGATGTCATTTGTTCAAGAATTCATTGATTTTCTTCTATTTCACTCTGTTTTACGCAATCAGACACATGCGGATCTGATTTCAATAAAAATCCACCCAAAAAGGCAATAAATATCGACCGACAATAAAAATCAACGCACTAATGGTCCATTTACTCCGTCTAGGAGATAGCTCCTCTTTCAATACCCACTCAGCTGATACTGACCTGGCTCAGTTGCCTTGAATGAATTGAATGTTTACATAGTTTTAAAATAAGATATAAATAAATAAAACAAAAAATTAATTTTTCTTTTGTGAACATTTAATTCGGTAAAACGTTCAATTCATTTTTGTTGACGTCAAATGGTATGGTAGTTTCGAGGCAACTGAGACAGCCAGAAAAAGAAGCTACTAGACAGCATTGACTGGCAGACTGGACATTTTTTGCGATTCCCTAAGGCCTAACGGATTTATTATGTTCATTTTTTGTTTCGGCCCCATGAACCCAAAAGGCATTAAAGCAATTGCAAAAAATGTCCAGGCTGGTAATGGATAAGTTGAAAATCAATTAAAATCCAATTTATTTGAACAATTAAGCAATATTGATAAAATCGATTTCATCAGTGCTCAGTCATTAAAAACAGAAGAAATTTTCAATATTAAAAACAAAAGTAATGATTGCCTCACTTTGTACGATAAAATGTCTCTGTTTTTCTCAAACACAGAGACGAGTTACTCGTACGAGTATTACTTGAGCGGAAATATGAATTATGTTTAGAAAATATGGTCTTTTTCGGCTACATACTTACATCAAGTGGCTTTTAAACATGTATTACGCATTCTCCATCGGATCGTTATATCCACTTGTGATCAAGAGCACATTCATTCAACTACAAAGTTTAAAATCTCCACTTCAAATGTATATATGGTGGGTGTTGTGTTTCAAATGATCATGATTCATGATAAACCAAATGTAGTCCCATATGAAAACAGAAAAGACAATTCAAACATTTACCGTTTAAATTTGGATAATTTATTTATTGTATTTTTATAATTTCTTTGCGCAGTTTTGCCACTATTTGAATTTTCCGTAAAGTTTTACATTAACATCATTTTTTTTTCTTCTTTGTTTGGGTTTGGTTAAAAGTTTATCAATTTCATAATATAGTTATATTCATTTCTCAGTGCTATAGATTTGAACACATTTTGGGTTGGTTTATTTATTGGATGATTGTAGCGGTTGATTTGTTGAATACAAATACATCATATTTCTTCAAACAGTTTTTTTTTTGTAATATCAAATAAAAATACATAAACTCTAGATTCAATCCGCTTACTTTTGAAACAGAATACACATCAAGTACATAGTTTTTTTTTTTTTTGAAATAATTCGACATGATTGAATCTAATTTGGAATGCAGATTTTATTGTTTTAGCGGAAAACCATTTCGCTGAATGCATTAATACACATTAACTGTTCAAATGATTTTGTTTTCCGTTTTTTTTTCTTTTTTCATCCGTTTCATTCATTTTGAAACATTTACACAGATTTGATGCATTCATTCAATCACAACATTCAATTACAGTTGGGCTCTGACAATTCGAATGTGTTTCATTTGCAGTTATTCGAATCAAAATCAAATTGATTATTATTCATGCCAATGGCAAGGAGACATCTACTCAAAATTTTCCGACCATGAAATACCCCTATGCCCTATGCCCATGTATGACGAAAAAGCCAAATAATTGCCGAATTAACAGAGTCCGACCGTATATCGAATATATCGTGCGAGTAAACTTTTGCCTAGATTCATACAACACTCGAATTCGAGTCTCGAATTTGACTTAGTCCATTATGTTTGGATTCATTGTTTCAATTTTCTACGACGTAAGCATGACCAAATAGTTCGAATAGTTCTGGGTAATGATATGGTTTCGTTTAGAATCATCACTTATTTCGTTCAAATAAATTATTGTGATTGTGCAGACATCGCAAAATGGCAAAATATAATCCGCATCTTTGTCCATGATTGCAAAAATAATAATAATAATGACCATTGACAAAATATAGTTTGGACAAGTTTGAGAATGTGAATAGAGTTTTATCATGGGCTTTTGTTTGGTCCAAATTACGACAGTCATACTAAAAAAAATGTGGACGTGAGAGTCTCGTGGTGATAGAATATAGTACATGTGATAAAATAAGCCAACGTAGAAATTGTTGTCTTCCAAATAGAGTGTAACAACACTCGATTGAGTTTTTGCGATTTTTTTTTCTCCACTTCGCACTCTGAGAGCTAAATATCGCCAGCGTTTGTGCTTTTTGCTTTATTTTTTCGGACTAGGAAGACATTGTTTTACAATGCACAAATGTGATAGGAGAATTTTTGAATGGCCAACGAACACTGAAGCATGCTATAATGGAATACAGATGATACTTTTAAAATTTCATTTGACCTCATTAAGTGTGTATGTTTTTAACATCAAAAACTTGGTTGCGCTTTTGTTTATATCATTTCTGGCTGCTATGCTTTTCATTGGTTACATTTTCGAGGTGAACAACTGTTAAAATGTCATTTTTTAAAGTTTCATTTTGTATCTTAAGTTCTACAAACATATAGTTATTGGTTTGGTGGGTAACGTTGCCTCTAAAATCATATTCATTTTAAATTTTTTTTCTCTAAATTTTTCACGACGAATATTAATGGCTTTTTATTGTGTACTATTGTGCTAGTTTTTTTTTATCCCTATTTTACCCAGTTTTTGAATCTAATAATAATTTCCAATTGTCGACTTGGCACTGGATTCAATGCTCCAAATACTCGAATTGGTGCCTAATCTCGATTGCTTCATGCAAGTTTTTTTTATTCGCAAATTTTTTTCACTTCATTCGGTGCTGCCAATCGGTACGATTTATCGCATTGCCATCATACCAGAGCATGAAATTGTTACTCACGAAGAACGCGATTGCTGGGCATCGTTTCCGGCTACGATTTCTGCCGCTGTGTTATTCGGAAATGTGCACGAATATGAAGTCATGCGGGTAAGCAGGTGCGTTGCTTTATGAGTGCGATTTCATGCTCTGAATCATATTAGAGAAGAAAAGAACTATATGGCATTTTTTCACAATCAACAAATATTGAATTTCGCCAATTTTCGACCACATTGACACACTTTCGCGAGTGATACACGAAATAAGTCAAAAGATGGAATTATTATTACCATTGCTTGGGCTGCAGTTTGGCGCTCACAAATCATTTTGAGACAGGCTCTTTTTTCCACTGTGCATGACAATGCGCTATTCTTTTATTCGATTTCACTCGATCTTTTCCATGCTTCGGTTGTTGTTCGTCCACATGTTTGGCATACAAAAAAATTAAAACTTGTTACAAATGCATTGAAATAGTTCCTTAAAAGCAGCTTATAAAAATATCAATTTTATATTCATTTGTTTTTCGTACGAACACTAAACAATTATAAATGCCTATTGGTTTTACATTGTCATGGACATTTGTTTATTTTATGTTTTTTTAGTTGTGCTATACTTCCGTATATATTTATCATGAATTGGACACATATTCAATCATCTAAAATGTCAAAATTCTACATAAAATACAGAATTTATTTATTTATTTCTCATATTTCGTTTGAGGGAATTAAGGTCATAAATGGTTCTAAACATCGTTTAAATCTTCTAGTTTCTGTTTTTTTTTGTTATATTTTTCTTGGTACTCTAAATACACGCTTAAATTTATCGATTTTTATTTGTATTATATGCTCAGTTGTTTGATTTGTTGTAGTCAATTGTTATTTGTTCGATTTTTATTTGATTCAAAACTTCAAATGTATATGTCATTCTGATTCGAAAATATCCATGCGTAAATTCGCAATTGTGATTCTGTTTACTTATTAAGCGAAAATATATATTCTCTCTGGAGTGTCTCTTTGAAAGGTAAAACTTTCTATAATGACCGTGACTTCAGTGGAAATAAAATCGGCCAGCGATTTTTCAATAAAATAGTATTTCTTTGCTTTAAAACTATGTATTTCTCAACATTTTAATTCAATAATTCGTTATTTCTTTGGCTTTAGTTTCTTCATCATAATCAACACACATTCTATAAATCACACATTTGTTTTCGATTCTCGATAAACTGAATATTTTATAGTTTTCATTGTAACTAGAACATTTTGTGTTCACCTTCAAATACATAAAAATATTATTTTTGTTGATTGGTTTCCACGACTTTGTGCTACTTCTAAATGTTTTTTCACACCAACAATATTATTTAAATAACATTATTCAATTCTGTTTACTTCTTAGTTTCGATTGCGAAGACTTGAACAGTCATTTTCAAAAGAATGTTAGAAATAGCGCAACGACCAATAAACGATTTCTATTATAAAAAGGTTATTTATTTAGGTTTCTTCAATACTATTAAACACTCAGTACGACTTTAACGATCAATACAATTAGTCAATATTTTGTTTTGTTATCCCTACAATGGAAATGAGTTGAGTATTGATTCACTAAATATAATGAATTGAACAAATCAGTTGGACATTTCATCGTGAATTGTATTTCTAACATTATCATTTGTTATTTTTATTATTATGCACTGTTATTAGACACGTATCGCACATAAACAGTTTTCCTTCTTACATTTTATTTCACCATGTTAACACGACTAATTTTATTTCTACATACACATTCAATATATTTGGACCTGCATCGCATTGTCCCCACATTTATGTATCATATCAGATTACGGTGTATTAGATGATTTAATGCGAATATTTTCTTTTTGTCTTGGTTACAACGTTTATTTAGGGATGCTTAAGGAATTGTTGGCTTGAGCATCTTTCAACAAGTCGATTTATTTATTGATTTCATGAGATATTTGGTTGTTTTCTTTTTTGCTTGTCATTCTTGATGAAAAGTGAAGATCCATTGAGTTTAATGTAACTTGACACGTTTTTTTTTTCGTGTCCAAATTGATCCAACCTCTCTTTTCTGACACATACACACAAACTCCGAAAAGTCCAAAAAAATGGGACAATTTCGACCATTTTCATTTGACTGGATTTAGATATATATCATATGATAAGATTCGTGTACAAAAAAATGTCATACGGAACACGAGTAGGTGCTATAATTATCTACTGAAGCGGCTGCTTTGTTATGATTTTGTTAGGTTACAATTAGAAAGCGACCCGAACTTGTATACTTAGGATCAAATGTATGAAAACTTTACGATTGAAATGAAACTCAATACGGAATGTTGACCATTACAAGGGAACAGAGATTAAAATCGTTTCGCTTTTCACGTCGTTTGATTTTGATCGAGTTTTGCATGAAAAAAACGGCACGTTTAACGAATAAACATTCATATTTAAATCAGATTTTGTTTCGTCTCAGCAAGTTTTCAATGGTTGGCAAGAAAAAAATGGTGTATTTTCTCATATAAATTCCGATTGGGACAGTCGATGACTTCCATGGCATGTCACATTCTTCTATTGAATTCTACACTGTTGAAAGAATTCTATATATTTTGTGTTTGTGTTACGGAGAAATAGAGATTTTGACGTTTTTTTTGTGTTATCCATTTATACCGAAAAACTGTCGGTTTTTTAAAAAGCGCCAAACTGAACTGTCATCATTCATTGTATTCATTTTAAATTTTTTTTTTCTGGAAATATGGACCAACAATTAGGAGACAATCTTATAAAAACTTATCAAAATGTTACAATTTGGCTCAAAATATTATTGGATTTTTTCAAGAATCACTTTCAGCTTCTGTACAAAATTTGGAACCAATTGATTATATGCGAAAGAATGTGAAAAGAACCTAGTGATCCAAAAAGATTTTCTTTCTCTTCTTGTAAGAGTGAATCGTTTCTATCGCAACATTTAATACTCTATTTTAACGATAATGTATCAATGAAGTGTCAAATATTTTGCGACAGTGTATGCTAGTTATATGTTTTTTTAGGTACAGCACATGGATTTTCAATATATAACACACAAAATATATTTAACCAACGCCTATCAGTACCGTATTGAATCAATAAATTTCGGTACACCAATGTTAAAAACAGTAATCAATTTGGCACAAGTGAACCCAATTGGGCTTGAAAATCGCCTTTTTAGAGTTAAAATATGCATTGTTAGCAATAGGAATTTCAATATGCTCTTTCATACCAAATATACGAGAAAAAAAACGATGAAACACAACAATGTTTGCATCATCATATACGTGCCCGACAAATATTTATAATCTAGAAATATTTGCATACATTTTGGAGTTCTGTGTTTAAAAGGGGATTCATTTCACAGAATCTAGGGATGTTATCGTTCTGAAAATTACTCAAAAAGCAAAGAAAGGTCAAGAGGGTTCATTTCAAAATTCATTGGGGGGGAATGGATCGGACTCCTCGGAGCCTTCGAAACTTAGGTCAGAATGATTGTAAAACAAATTCTTGAAACAATATTTTCAAAATGAAGCTTTTGCTACACATGAGAACGAATAAAATGATAGATCGACTAATTTAATTTGTATTAATTATGCATCCCAATGGATTGAATCATAGAGGTTGAAAGAATAAACAGCTGTTCGAAGTAGATTTTTCAAATATTAAGCTTATTCTTTTCGCCAAGAACAAACAAGTCGTGCACATAAAAGAATGATAACTAAAATTTTGACATACAATATCCTGGATGTATCCAGCATGAATTTACAGATTTAATAAGACCAAACAAATTGACGAAAATACCTCGAATCATTGATGATTTATTTTTCATGTTTTGTATCAGTGTGCCCCTTTTTGTTGGTGGAAAATGTTTGGAATGCGCAGTGGCAGATTGTTGGCATATTAGTAGCGATTTATGTGGATGATTTCTCTCTACAGAAGTAGAATCCAATTGAATGCATCAACTTTTAATGCGATACCCGTAAATTGTTGAATAAATATTAATTTTTATTTGTTTTCTTATCCCATATTGGTGATACGCATAGATTCCAAAATAAAAACAACATTAATATTATTTATCCAGTCATCTGGCATTCTCTTTCGTTTCTTTTTGCCTTTTCTTCTTTCATTATAATCGAGAAAACAATTAAAATGTAAACAATTTCGAAGAGAAATGGTCCCGTGTATTTGGAGAAAATTAACCGAAGATTTAGGCTGAACACTGAATTAATAAACCAAAACTTTATATAAATACTTTTTTTGAAAGTGTTATTCTTTACGCAATTCCACTCCAATGAGTCGGCAAAATTTGTGCGAGATTCAAAAGCCTTCATTTTGAGACATTGTCACTATATCTCTATATACAGATTTTATTTTTGGCCTTAACACTGCTTTAAAAATGTGGCATTCATTGTATTTGGTTAGTTTTGCATAAAAATAGCTGAGCATGAGCATATTTTCGAAGCCATTCGTGTTTGTTCTATTATCTTCAGAGAGTAGAAAGTCGACTTGATCCGTCTATTCTATCGCTAAATTATATCCCTACGATCTGTACTCATCAGGCTGTGTGTTCGGTATGATTTCAGCAGGCACTGCTGTGCCTACATGCAAGATATGTGTACATAACAAGCATATATTGTGTTTGCAAGAAATATTGCTTGAAATATCAGTGGCTGCTGAAATCGTAACGAACACACAGTCTGGTACTCATTGGTGTTGTTCTTACACTTCGAGTTTTATTTGTTGAATGGATCTTTTTACAGCTTTTATACAACAAATCTAATTGAAAATTGATAAATGTTTTATCCATGCAATAAATGTTTAGTGGTGTGAATGTCTGTGTGTGCAGGTGTATGATGTTGGTTAACACATTTTTATGTACGAACTTGGCCAATTAATGTGTTCGATTCGGATTGAGATTGACTAGAAAAGAGCAAGTTCTACGAAAATAAAATAAGCAAACGCCTGATGATTGTATTTCCTATTTGTTTACTTGGTTTTTTAATTTGATTTCTGTTTTTTTTTTCTCTTTAAATAATACTAACTTTACTATGGATTAAATTAAATTTAAATTATATATATCGATTGTAAGTCTATCTTAAAAATGTCAAAGATCTAAAGCAAAGCTCAATTGAATTCGTCTGTTCGTAGTTTATATATCGTATACTTAAACGCATGAATTATATATCATTATATGTGTATAAATTTAATTAAAAATTAAATAAAGTTACTCACTGCCAGAGCGGTTTTTACTTAAAATGGGCAATATAAAAATGAATGTTTGCGTTTTTATATGTTTTGTTCGTAGCATGAGTGTGTGTACATTGGTACTAAAAATAATCGCTTTGACTGTGTGATTTTTAATTGTATTTGGGGTGTGTGATACGAGCGTAGTTTGTAATAAATCAATAAAGTATCAAAAATTGTTAAATTTTTTTCGTCTTTTTCTTCTTCTCTATGCACAACATCAATTCAATTGCAAAACATTTTTGTTTATTATTATAACGTCGGATGCTTTCGTACGTACATATTTATGAATTGTTATAGTACCGTTAATGGTGGGTAAACGTGGAAAATATTAATTTTATTCTTGTTGCTAACAGTTTAAGAATTCATTTCGCCAATAATTAAAAACAAAGTCGAATATAGCTCCAAATAACGCAACCGAAATTCTTCATTCTAATCAATCAATCAAATTCACAATATTATCATTTTTCATGAATCTGTGTTCAATAAATTGGTTTTGTTAATTCGTCGATTCGATGAAAATGTGACGATTTTTGTTGGTTCACTTCGTTTAAAATATAAAATCGCCACAGTCCATAGCATAGTCGAAATCATCTCCGCCGATATCCTCAATACCGCTTGTATGAAAATCAAATGCACCGATATCGGTATGATAAATGCCAACATGTGATGTTGTTTCGATCAAATTGGTGCAGTGAGTTGTAGGCAAAGCATGCAATGTGAACGTTTCTTCACACTGTGTCCAAGTCAATCCTGTGACATGTAGATAAAATGTCTATCATTTCTTTTCTCGTCTTTTTTTTAAAAATCCTCAAACTATGCATTATCACATACACACACAAACACAAATGTTTTGTTTACAATATGGGAAAATTGAAATATACACTTACCACCGCCCCACACACCATTGTCGGTAGACCAACCAAAGCCGTGACCTGTTTTGGAAAAATGCACCATTTCTTATATGCGAATTGACTATATGTCTTATATACTAAATTATTGATTATTTTAAAGAATATAAACATTACAATTAAATGGTTTTTTTTTAATAAAAACAAAACTTAGTTTACCCCAGGGCAGAACACAAGCCAGTGTAGCCTTCGCATCCGAATCATGTGTACTTTTGCTCAGTATAGCAACAGCCGCATCGCCACGTATTTGGGCGCTACGCACTGCATCACGATTACTTCGTCTAGACGATACCTCAGAGTTCGTGGCAGCTGTTAAAGTAAATGACATTGAAGGATACGACTTAAATTCAGGTCAAAATAATATTTCAAATCTTGTCCGTTTCTTTTTTTCGATTATAAAGGCAAAAAAGTGTTTATTATCGAAAATCGATTATGGGAGTTAAATGTGTGTTGGTTGAGAAAAACAATGTGTTTGATAGTGATTTTAAAAGGAACTTAGTAATTTATGTATTCTTGCCATTTTCTAATGGAAAGAAATGATTCTTATATCGAGACCGTTCGAGATGAAAAAAAATATGAAAATACGTTGAACATCAAAACGTTTCCTCATGAGGATTTATGTGAGTTTTTTGACGATACATACAACTACTACTTTGTATCCTTCAATTTTTAGGCCAATTGAATTCTTTGGTAACATTGTTTTAAACTTACGTCTTATCCGGACTAGTGGCCGCCGTAACACCCCAGTTATATGTGATTTATCAATAATAAGCTCTATTTGTGGCGCCGGTGGTAGCTATACCGAATTAAATATAAAAATTTAAATGAAAATCCAAGTTTTGAATGACTTCTACGCGTAGTGGGTAGAGTAAATTATTTTTTTTTATTCATCAATACAATAGCAATAAACTCACCGTTTTTGAAATCGCATTAATCCAATCACTGAATATGCGTGCACAAGAGCATGAAAACGAAAATATGCAAAGAAATGAGATTAATATTGAACGAGAAAAAAAAACAAATTGAATACCTAGACACAAACTAGAAAACTAAAAAAACTAAGAAAAATTAGCAATACTAAAGCCCGTGTCTCCCCCTAGTTGAATACAGATCAACTTTTCATAATAGTGCAATAAAACACATTTAACATAAAAAAATGCATATTGCATTATTCATTTTGATAAATTGTTCCATTTCTGAGTATAAAATTGTAAGCACGCACATGGATTGAAACAATCATTTTGAGAATTCTCCGCTTCACAATTTTATGGATAAAATATGTTAACAAATGTCGAATGTACAATTTTACTTACTTGACTTCTGCTTCGGATCGCGCAAGCATCCAGTACACTTTTGATTTCTTTCGCCTCGAACCCAGCGCAATCAGTTGCGATATGTTACAGCCATCAGGTAACGGGGGTCGCTTTGGTTTGAAATACAAGTAAAATTTGTAGATAAAAAGAAAATTGACCATTTTTTACTTTGATAGTTTTTTCCTTTCTGAATAGCGCTAGCTATTCGCAGCTTCTGTACAGCATTGCTGCCCAGATGCTGAATCGAAGCGGTTGCCGCACGCGTTTTGTACCACACAACATATTGTCATATAGTTTAAGTAACCAGTATACAAACGCATGTCGAACAGAGAACGAACGCGAACGTATATGCTCTGTGTGGTACAAACGAAGTGTGTTGCGCGTGCGGCAACCGCTACGATTCAGCATCTGGGCAGCAATGCTGTACAGGCGCTGCGAATAGCTAGCGCTATTCAGATAGAAAAAAACCATCACTGATTTTTTATGAATATATCACAAATGAAATATGAAACATTAAGTATTTTGAACATTGCAATTTGGATTTAAGTTTTCGATCTTTCAAATAATAACCTTTGGTATTTGTCCCGTCCATTGAGCAATCGCAAGCATCTCTGGTGCCTCTTTTACCAATATCTTACCTTCGATATAAATGTGAATAAGATTGATTTTGTCCTTAAGACTTCGAAATAAATGTGAAAAAGATATCTTACCTACTGGCGACGAACGGCCCGCTTCCTAAAATAATTTAATGTGAAAAATTGAAATCGTTTTTATTACGCAAATTATGGCATCAACTCATATTTAAAAGAAAATAAAAACGAAAAAGCTTTTTAATGATTAACGAACATTTCAGACAAAGACAATTGAATAAAATTATGCTTACGGTGAACCAGGCCATTGTTGAATCATCATACAGTACAACCCATTCTTCGACCCATCGACTCCAGAGAAGCTGTCCTGTATGTAAATTAAAAAACACTCTTAATTTCAGAGAAAAAAATCTTATCAAATTAAATCGAATGGGGCCAAGAGAAAGTACTAACAGAAAAAGCAAGACAGAGAATAAGAACGTTATTACAATTGTCATTGGCAGATAAAAAAAAATCGACTGTCAAACTGTCTTTATCTTCAATAAACAAACGTTGGGTTTCTTTCTATATAAATGCATATTTTGCTATTAGTTTGAAGGCTACATCCACCATAATATTCAATATTTAAGCGGCACACACATCCATAAAGATGGAAATGAGGCCAAAAAACTAAATATTTAATGATTTAATCTGTCATTTTTGAGTCATTCATCAGTGTCCGTAATTTTTTTTTACAATGTCCTTGTTTTTATGATATGTCATGTAAATTTTGCATTTCGTTTTTGTAATAGGCAAATCAATAACATAAATCAAATTATCCACATGACGCTTGTTTCCATCTGGAGAATTGAAAGTAATCAATGGCACAAATATGAACAGTACTTTAAGAATAATATAAAAGATTTATATGTATTTAAAATGATTCGACAAAGAAAAGCGTGTACGTATTTATTTAAGTACAATTGTGTCGATCAAAAGAGAACTTTTTGAAATTCGACGGCATTTTTTTTGTGAAACGTTTTAACTGATGGAATTTGGTAAAAACAAGCTCCTTAATGGAACACTTTTATTTTACCATGACATTCGACAACGTAACACAAAACATTTGATTCCAATTTTTGTTGTCACCACCCCAAAATCTTCACATTTTCCTTGTTGCTCAACAGCGAAAATATTATATTCATGTCACATTGTTTCGGTTTGTTGTCAGGCAAAACAAATGAAATTGATATTGCCTCTCGATATTTCACCAAAATATATACTGGACAAATGGACGTTTTTCACATATTAAGCATTTTCCCTTTGTGATACAGTCTGATTTTATATAATCGGCGCTGCACGTGAGTCAAAATTGTAATGCATTCAATAAAAAAAAAAAAAAACAAATGGAGTGCATGTTTATATGGAAAATCATTATTTGGCGTTGACAAACATCTTGGTGGATATCAGCGTTTCATAAAACACTCAAACTATCCATCCATTTATGAAACACTGGTGTATATATACTTTGTCAAAGTAACTTTGAACTCATCAGCATTGAGACCGATTTTTTTTCCTTTTTCTTTTCTTTCATCCTGTACATGTGCCGATATTATGTCCATTTTTTTCTCTCCTTTCTCTTTTCAATTATTTTTTTCCATCACCATCAATTCACAGTTTTTTTTATCGTTCAATCCACTCTATTATATGCATTCATAAATGAATACATGTGATGCCAGTAAGTTTGTAAATAAAAAAATGTTACCATTGATAACGTATAAAAGAAACAGTACCGCAAATATATGTGTATATTTGTGAATGCTTCTTCGATATTGTGGCGAACAATATTAAAAGCAGTATTTATCTCAATCAAGATAAATCTACGGCACACGCATAGATGGAAAAATCCATAAAAAAAATCTAAAGAAAGAGAATTTGTTGAACGGAAAAATGAAGAGTTCAATAAAGAGAGCTCGTGATTGAAAAAATTCCAGTCAAATCCAATAACTGTTTTGTGCAGACAGTCAAAATTCTAATATTACATATAGATGGTATAATAAAATTGAATGTGGTTTGTATTGATAGGTCATGGTTATACATACAAACAACGTAAACCATGCATAAAACACGTGGAAAAAAGTACCACATTAGATGGCAGACAATACATTGAGGTGACTGATCAGCCGAGCTGAAGAAAATTATCCAACTATTTGGTACATTTGTGATATTTATCACTTGTTTGGCGAATGTCTTGAAATGTTGCATGTCTGTAATACTTTTTTTAACCAATACATTTGCATTCACTATACCACACACTACAAACATCAAATCACATCTACTGTAGACAGCCATATAGCTGCCTATTTAGCGTCATCTAAGCTGATCAGTAAGCGCAATATATTGTCTGTTGAAAAGTAATATTGATTGTAATTTTCTTGATTGAAAATGAAAATTGTTTATCTTTACACATATTTTCATTGAAACAATAAAAAGAGCATATAAGTCTGTTCTTGTTTTTTTTTTAATGTTTGGTGGTCTGACTGTGCCTATACTAAATCAGAGAATATTTTTATCAATCCTCCTGTATATGGGTGTGATTATTTGTTTAACCCATCTCATTCATTTGATGAGATAAATTATGCGGCACATTTTCGGTTTTCTTTTACTCAAACATATGACCATTTTACCATGTTAGCTTTTATCTATTTTGCATCTAAGACTAATATTTTATTTTAATATATGAATAAGTGAGAAACATTTCTCCTCGCAACAAGAGTGAATTTTGTCTACTCTGTGAATTTGATGGATGGAATTGAGATTGAATACAAAAAAGGAAAGAAAGAAAGAAAGAAAAGAATAAACATAATAAATTGATTCAACCAGAAAGTGGTGAACTTTTTTCTCATTAAAAATGCCCACTTGAAGGATGTCTCAAAAGTTTTACATTTCTTCGATTTAATTTAATTTGATATCTGTTCTTTTGTCATATGATATCAAAGAGAAAAACCGAGCTCATAGTCTATCATTTTTCAAGTTTTCCAGTAAAATATATTCAATATAAAATGAAACATACGTTTATATCGAAGTAAGTATCCTCCTTTTATTTGTTTGCCCACTGGACCTGAACCTGTGAAATGAAAAACAAAGAAAAACTTTAAATATTATTCAAAATTCAACAAACAAAAGAAAGCAAGAAAACAAGTAAAAGATGAAGACTGTGTCACGAGTAGTGTGTATGTAAGGCTATCAAAGGCTTTTCAAAATGAAATTTTAGGCTTTCTAATGGGAACGATGAACATTTCATATGTTCAAGGTTGTAGAAGTTTGAGGAAAGCAACAGAGAAAAGAGACGGCTTTATCGAAAAACTTATAATAAATCGCATATGAATTAAGTTTACTGTGTTTTGGGATGCATAAAGATCCCAGATATATTGCAAGCTAAACGCAATAGAGAATGCAAGCAAACAGATAAAGTTGAATGCATTTCTTCTGAGATTTTTTTCCACTTCAACTCTGTCTTTTAGTTACACTAATGTATATAGACATATATAATATTATATTATATATATATATGTATATCCACGCAGTGCATGCCCACATCCTTTTAGTCGGACGCTCATCGATGTTGTAAAAAAAGCGAATTAGAGCGAGATAACGAACGACGGAAGTGCTGCATACAGAGTGAAGAAAATCCAATATTTACTCAGTTCACAATGACCTACGCTATTGCAAATGGTTCATTGAACTGACCTACATTCCGAATTGATGGAAAATACAAGCGAGCCTTGTATATTTTCAGCATCCAACACAAGCACCGTAACTCTGTGACTGCTATTGACATACAATATGCATAAAATGTTTGCAATTATGCGTCGGTAAACTTTTGATACTTCTAACGAATTTGCTTGCTTTTTTCACTCACTTTTCTCGCATTCCCGCCTATTCACACGCTTTTGAAGAGCTTTTAACACAAGCAGAGGGTATCATCATTCCAATGACATACACTTCTTGTGGTTATTTTTGCCACAAACAAAGACGATAGATAAATTGTTCAATGTCTAAGTCATACACGAATTCCACAAAAATTCAATTAATATGCCACAAGCGAATTGAAAGTTTGTATATTGAGCTCAATAGTATCGTACAAAAACGTACACACACACTCTCTCTCAATTCTCCATTCTTTCTCGATTCTTTTTCATCACCATCGATGGCGCGGTGCTCTTGGTGATGAAATATGTGTGATATAAATCCGTGCTCTTATCGCGAACAAGCAATTGTAACAGCAAAAATGAAAAGTCGTCGAAGATGACATGAATTCGTTTAAAATTGAGAACCTCATAATATAAGCTTAAAATATGCATTCGATATCATAGAAATGCATATTCACATTTTCCGCTTGGTTCAATCGGAAGCAGCTTCTTACGTAAATATGAAGCGCACACATCATACATAATTATTATTTTCCCGTAATCGTTTCAAAATCAAAATTCTCTCACGTACACCTTTATTCCGTTGCGAACATCCAATGCACATAAATATCCGAATCATTCATTCACCAACAAACACTTGGCTCGAGCACGGAATGCATTCAGCTGAGCCAAAGATCAAATTAAAATTGTGCACTAGCAAACTTTAATTTGATAAAAAACTTTTGGTGGCACAACATTAAATCACAAAATGTCCATACACAGACAAAAACGATGGTTGAAACAATTCTTAATCTGATGAAATCAATTTATTGTGTCTTTATTTAATACAACTTATTTTACATATACTTTGAACTACAATTTTTATGATATTAGCAATGAAGTCACCATTAATTTCATTTGTAAATAAAAAAGTTGGGAAAAACAATTATAGCAAAAAATTATTCAAATTTCAACTAATGGCTATAAAATGTCATTCAGATTAAAATTAGAGATAGTCCCTTCGAGAAAATGGAGGAATCCTCGCCGTTTAGAATAAAATTTAACCAAAATATTTGTGTGTATGCAACAGTGAGTACTCTTTTTGGTTTACAACACGTGCATACCATCAGCCTTGTACAAGTGTGTCCGTTGCTTGCTTCGACAACGTTTGCATATCATTGGTAATGTTAACTTGTTCACACAGCTTGAGCGTGTTCACATTTTGATTGATATGTAACCGTCATATTCAATGAATCCAATGAAGTATTATATGCATAGAATTTTGCTTTCACTCTCACTCCCTGCAAATGATGTTCTCCTTAATTTTCATTTAACTCGACGCATTCACATAGCGAAGCCAATATATATTGGCAGAGAACAGAGAATAAAAAAAAAGTCCCGTACAATACAATAAGCTTATGAGACATTTGTGATACGTAGCAAAGCTTAAATTCACTCAACTCCATTGAAGCCATCTGATTTTGTTATCGACTCTGACAAATAATCCGCATTTAATTTTAATTTCGTATGCTGACGAGATATATGTATATATATAGAATGAAAGAAAACCGCATGAAAATGGAGATAGAAAAATAAGCAAATAGAGGAAGAAAAAGTGATTAAAACTGGGCCGAATACAATTCAAATTATCGTCAGGCCATATCATCATATTAAATAAAATACGTATAATTTGCAGATATAACACCCATATGAATTCGCCTGGAGGCGGCAAAACAAAGACGCAATTCGATGCTCATACGACCATTCCAGCTGAATCGCTAACGAAATCGAATCCATTAATTAATCCATTTTTTATCCAAGTTTTATTTGCATGCCTTATTATGTTCACCATTCGTTTGGATAGGTCTCGCGCGAATTCAATCAAAGTTTGCAAAGATAACGAGAGAGAGAATGCGCAAAAACCCAAATGTGAACAATACAAAAATTAGATCAGGTTTCGATGCGATTCAACCAATGCAATCGCAGAAACAATTTTGAACCGTTTCCATGGCATTACTACAATTGTATAACATTTTATGCATGGGACGACCAAAACCAAATTCATGCACTAGGAAATACTAGAAAAAATTTAGTTGGTGAATGGCCCCATGATTAGATTTCCTACTTCATTAAATATTTCATTAGATCTAATTGATTACGAAAACAACTAATATATTGTATATGAACCAAACCAAATTAAAACAATAATGAATATAACACTTATAAGCATGCCAGATTTTTTTATGTCGATCCGGAAAAGTTTCTATGGTTTTTGTAAATTCAGTAGAGCTTGAAGAATCGAATAACTTTAAGGACATACGTGCCTTTAGGGAACTAAACTGGTATAAGATGCGTTTTGATACTGTCATCGTAAAAATGTTCGTGTTCTTTGATTGAAAATTGCGCTTTAGTAAAAGAAGGATTTGTGATTTTATATTGAAATTGAGGAATTATTTTTCATCGAGCAAATAGATCTTGATGAGAATCTATTATATTTCGTTATGATCAGAAACTGTTTCTCAGAGCAATAAATATGAGGAGAAACGCTCTGGGAATCCAGTGAAATATTACTTTTCCGCACACAACTAGTGTGTAAGGTAAAGTATTGGAATCGGTCGAAAAATTAACACCCATCAAAAATGTGTTTTCTGGGTGTTTTTGGGGCCAGGGAACACGAATCTAGCGTTTTTTTGCTGTCCGAATGTATGTGCGTACCCTGTACCCTGTACGCAAAAATTTGTTAACACGATAACTTTCAAACAACACTTTTCATACAAAAATTTGAAAAACATTGGATTTTTTTATGGAAGCCATGCCTGTATGATATCGTAATGAGCTGAAACTTTGCACAGGTTATTTTTCACTCTAAAATAACATTCTGAGGGTTTGAAGAGATTTCAATGCATAATAGAGATACCTCCCGAACAAAATTTTTGATTTTTTGCTCAAAAACGAAAAGAAGCCAAAAGAAAACCATAGATTTATTACCTAAAACGATAAAAAATAAAATTCACATATAGTTGGCGTTGCATTCTATGCAAACTTGTTTTCCGTTGCAACGGACTAAGTGGAAAGTATACGCTTATTACACAGAATGTAGCGCCAACTATACGTGAATTTTATTTTTTTATCATTTTAGGCAGTAATCTTATCGCTTCTTTTGAATGGTAGGCACCACTCAATTGTATTGAAATTTCTTCAAACTTTCAGAATGTTAGCTTTTTGTGAAAAAAATAACATCTGCAAAATTTCACATGATTACGATATCATACAGGCATTGAAAAGTCGATCCAACAAAAATTATTTGTATCGCAAAACTTATATCAGATTCAGTTTTCTCTTGAATTCATATTTACGGCAAAAGATACGTAATAAATGCATGTTGTGGATCACAGTGCGGAAAAGTTCATCTTACGGATGTAAGACATTTTATTTATTTTTTTAACTTCCAAGACGCTCCTCCTCACTTTCTTGCCTTCCTACTCTGAGAAACAGTATCTGATTTTGATTGCAAAGTCCATGGATAATTTGTGTGGAAAATGACTTTTATCGTCATAAGTAATGACTACGGCTTATGATCTCCCAGACACAGATTGAATGAAAGATATTTTTTGGACACAAGTTAAGCTATCATGGAGGAGGTGAAGATGGAATTCTTTTCTTGGTAGTTGTATATCTTAACAATTTTTAAAAGTTTCGGAGCAACTCCCATATAATACCATTCATTATTTACATACACAATAGCTCGCTTTTTCGTACAATGTGTTTCTTTCTCAACTATTTATTAAATGACGTTTCCACTTAGAACTCGATTTAGGACCCATGTCAACTTGATTTAACTATAAAAATATCGTACGTCAAATTAATAAAAAATAGTTGTCATTTTCAGTTTAGCAAAATTAAAACATTATCAATCAAATTATTTCCCAAAATGTGTGTTGAACTAAAATATACTGTATGGCATTTTTCATAACGTTATTCGTTAATTTTTCTTTTCAATTCATTATTATACTTTGTTACAGAGATGATTGTTAGCTATGGAACATTTTCGACATTGCAAAGCATCAATGGCTGGAGTGTTTCTTTTAAATATTTCGCGCGATTTAATAGTTACAATATATTTTATGCATTTAGACATTCGTGCGGAATGCATTTCTGAGTAAACCGTCCGTCTTCGTTTGAACATTTGAAATTTCCAAATTTAAATACGTTTACATTATTACAATTCTTCGAAAATTTATTCTACTTACAAGCGGATATTTTTCCACTCGGATACGAAACGTATGATTCTGTCGAGATTTCAAATGGAAAATCAAAATAATGTGATCGAAAAGAAGATGAGCTTGCTCGATGCTTTATTCTGGTTAAATATAAGTATGATTTAGATTAAATGTTTGTAATTTGATATCAGCACACATTATATTGCGAATCAATCAAGCTTAATGCCGATGTCAATATGGAAAAAATACATAAAATAAGAACAAATAATAAATCTGCTGAAATGAATATGAGACACGTTTTCACTATGCGAAACGAGTTTGAAACTCTCCGACTCTTGAATATTATGTTCAAATGCTATACTATAAAACGTGAGATACATTTTATAACGCGTGTATTCAAATGAGAGCTTCAAATAAAAAAGGTTTTCTTTTCAAATGAAATTCCCACGAATATTTCATCAAATAATATGAAAGCACAATGATGGACGCCGCGCACATAATTTACAATTATTCTATTTTTTTTTTTTTTTTTTTTTTTTTTTTTATAGAAAAAAGATCAAATGATGTGTATAAATTTTTTCTAGGAGCAAATTAGGCATGATAAAATACAGATGGAAGAAATGAAACAAAGTGAGACTTATGTGCCGTATAATTAGTTTAATGAAGCATGTGTGGTTTCATTCCGTGTGATGAACCGTTTGTATTCACCCCTTTTCATTTTAACCGTGCAAATAAAATTACTGAAGATTCATCAGATAAAGTAAATAAATGGTGGAAAACGATAAAAACCAGCTTTTCATCTTTTTGGATGAAATGAATTGATTGTGTAACAAATATCGTTTACTTGCAATTTATGGCGATTTTATATCGTGCATGGATATCAAAATATACGCCTAATTAATTCAACTGAATGACGGCCTCAAATTCGAATTGCGCCCGTTAAAAAGGTTTGTATTTCTTGTTCTCTTTTTCGAATCGTATGCCAAATATTATAGTTTATCGAGTGGTTCAATGAGTGAGCAAATATGCCAACGTAGATAACAACATCGACAGCATGTGATGTATCAAAAGAAAAAAGTCAACGAAATCAAGATGATCAAGAACGAAAAAAATTGTTTATTTATATGTATTTATGAAGAAAAGATAGTGCAACAGAGCTGTAGATTTACCATGATGATGCAAATTACCATGATGATGCAAATTGGATGGCGTTTGTGGGGCAGCCTTTGAACACATTGAAAACATGTTTGAATCTAATACACCACAGTTGGCGCGGTTGGAATGAAAATCACACAATTTCACTTTTTTTCTGTTCGCTATCAATCCAGAAGCGCACACACTACGACGATCCAAACAACTTTTTAACTTTTGTTCGTTTGACTCTTCAATAAACAAGGGGTTTCCTTTATTGTTTCACAACAGCTACGGCGTACGGTTTTTTCTCTGTCTCGTAAATGTGTGAAAGGTGTTTTTTGCACTATAAAATACTTTTTCACTTGTCGTAGTCGGTGGCGTTGTACACTTCTTATTCTTAATTCTTTCCAATTCTAATGTTTCTTATTTTTTGAATCATTTCCATCATTTTTTTTACTGGGTCGTTCGTTCGATTTTTGCAATTGCTTTATGATTCCTTTAAGTTCTCATTATTATGTGCTTGACGTATTTAATAAATTGCACATAAATAAGGTTACCGTTTAAATACTCGCAATGGAAAATAATGCTCACACGTGCTAATATTTATGTAAAGCAGCCAATGATAATATCGGTAGCGAATGAGAGAGCAATTGAACTGATGCAAACTGATGCAGAAGTGTGTCACTATATTTCATGGATTGTGAATAAGCGCGTGTCGATTTTGCTTGTAGAGCGCGGATTAATTTCTCTCGTTTTATTTGTTTTTTTTTTTGTTTTTTAATATTTATATTTTATTGAAATTTAAATAATTCATTTACACGGGTTTCCAATTTTCATTGATTGCAAATGTGTGAAATGAAATAAAAATAAAAGTATGCTAACCGGATTTTATTCACAATCAATTTCAATGATAATTATAAATTCGCGTTTTACTGGAATGAGGAAAAGCAAACAAACGTCGTTTTGTCTTTCAGTTAAATTGGTCGTGCGAGTAGACAGCGTAGATTTATGTTAATTTTTTCATTGAATACTCAGATAAAATAGTCCTTTTTTTATTATACGAGATAAAAAAATGTCTGATTTCCCCCTCCAAATTTGAATTTATTGAAGCTAAAAACCGACTTCACAATTGTGTCATTTAAATTATTTTGAAAAATATAATTGAGCTTCGTTTGCGGAATTGCAAATTCAATGAAATGAGAACGAAAAAAAAGTTCTTTTTTTATTTAAAAAAAAAAAATCAATGTTAGCTTTTGCCGCAAAGTTGATGCTGGCTTGTTTATTTTACAGACTTGGACACTGAAATACACGTTGTGCATACAAATAATTCGTAATTTGTGGAAGTATCGGATTCAAGCTTCAACACTTTGCGACGATTCAAGCAATACTGAATTGAAATGATACATAACAAAATGCTGGATGATACGATCTCATCCAAATTGAATGCTTTGCTTGTTCGCAAAGTTTATAGCATCGAAGCAAAATAAAGAGCAAGACATCCGTCCTTGTTCTGAATATGATGATGATGTTGAATACGCGCGCTGGGTCCACTTTTTTTTTCAGAACAATATTCTCACTGTGCCATGCTAACGCTTTCCGTTTCTAACCAAAACTTCGGATTCATTGATGCGAAATTCATGTCAATGGCTATGTGTTTGTTAGTGCTTACATGCACGTAGATGTCGGTGAACAAATTTTCTGTATCTGTGTATAGTGTATGCATAAAATGGCATATATAACATGTCATAACATAGAACAACCCATATAAAACACATCCACACCCCTATATTTGACAATTCACCGAACGAAAAAGTTACTACTTAAGTCCTAGCATGCGATTTTCTTTAAGTCTGACGTAAGCTTTTAAGTTTGAAAGCCACAATCAAATGCAATGATCAAGCTCTTGTTAAGCATAGCATGAAAAGCACCTTATTAAAGCTATCAACCCCACCGACGAAATTCTGTATTAAGTTTATAAATTTGGGTGGATATGATGTCACAGATGGCGCTACGTATTACATTTTTTTTGATTTGAAGAAAAGTTCATTGCCACAGCATTTCCAAATATTGAAGTATGCGGTCAATATAGAAAATAAATGACAATTTCGTTTACAAAATATATGTAAATGACGTTCGTAAGTGTTCAGCATTGGCGATAAATATTCATTTTTCGTTCATTGAATGCATGGGATCAACCAATCCATTTGGCTATTTTCTTTTTCTCATTTTATCGAAATTCTTCTATAAATGACTTTTCATGTGCCACCGCACTACCTTTTATTCGGTATGCGTGATCAATAATATCGTATTTTTTATAAATACCACAAAACGAAATGAAGTGTGGATGCATTTTTAGGACTTAATCAAAAAAAAAATTGTTTGTCTAGGTTAAAGCGTAAAATTCGCGCTTCACTAATTTAATTTTAATCGATATTATCGTCTGTAAGGCGTCTATAGCTCGAATCGTCCACACTTATACATATGTGCAGTATTTAAGATTAGCATTTACCAAAGCACAACGAAAGGAAGAACAAACAAACAACGACGTGGTTTCAACATTCGAGCATTTTGGTTTTCTTTTCAAACGGTACCGTTTGATGCATGCTCCATGAACTATGTTTGCAGCAGTAAAATGTTCTATCAGCGATGTAATCAAACAGCCGACCAGATTAACCTGACATTCGAGCAACGAAAAAAAAAAAATGGCGAAGAAAAGGAGAAGAGGAACGAACACATGCTTTTATGCATTATGTGTTATTGTTATTATTATTATGTGGATGTGTTGTATAAGTCGAAAGTTTCGACTATGTCAGAAGAAAACGAAGAGTGTTAACGGTTATTGGCACATGCACCCTGTTGGTCTGCATGCAGTAGTTTGAGACATGATTGCGATTGTCTTGTACTGCATTATATCGTTCTGTATATGATGATCTTTGCCTCATCGACCTAATGCAGACGACAGTTGATACTAAATATAAACACCGTCACCAAAAACAAACACACACACAGAGAGAGAGAGGGGGGGGGGGGGGGGAAAGAAGGTGGAGGAGACATGGATAAGATAAATGGTGCACATGCAAATAGTGAGGCTTGCAGTCGTTGGAAAAACCAACGAAAAACCAACTCAAAGCAAATACAAATACTGACCAAAATGGATTACATGCTCATTTATTTATGTGTACACGTCCGTTGCGTGTTTTCATGTGTATTATAATGGCACGAGCTATTGAATCGAATCGAATCGATAGGAGTTTTCTTTCAAACGAAAAAATGGACAATTCCCACAACCACATCTACACACATTCATATAAAACGTGGAAAATGTGCCCATCAATTGCTATTAACTTGTATTTTGGAGAACAACTAGAATTGAGTTGACGGTTTAATTCGAAACAACAACAAAAGGAAATCTGGATTGATTGAAACAAAAATATCCAACATGGAATGTTTACATATGTATATTGCTGACAAGTAATAATAATAAGAGTGCTGAAGACCTTAAATTCGATTTCGTTTTTAATTTTGCATTTACAACAAAAATGTTAATGGAATTCATGACTGTGCATAATGACCAAAATTAATGACTGTGAAGAAAAATGAGAAACTTCAGAGCCAATTCAATTTAATTAAAAATGCATCTCATAACTTTTATTCGGTGAAATGATTCTTCGAACTCAGTATAGAATAGATAGTTGAATACAGACAATAGCGTCAAGAGAATAGGAATATAAATCAAAATAAGTTCAAACTTGATAACATTTCGACCTTACGAAAGCAATACACTGGCTGGCGATGAGATAAAGCGAGAGAGAGAAAGTGAGAGAGAGAGAGAGAGATAGGGAGAGAAAGAAATTCGGTTCAGATTGCTGGAAAAATACATTCCATTCACGCGCGCACACCATCCATAAATGAACTCGTCATGTTTTTTGTCGTTCGATTTTTTTCCCTATTTTTATTTCGACCACTATGATTATAGAGAGATGATGTGTATTTTGTTTCGATATGAAAAATACACATTGCTTTGCCGGAGAATAAAATTATCATTATCACAGACATACAAACGGCAATCATCAATTGCCTGCGAAAAAAAAAAAACTGTCGAACGTATAAAGAAAGAAATCAACGAAGACAACAACTCAAAGATTGCAATTATTAGCGTAGGCTATGTACACTTTTCACATGTGTGTAATACTACGACTTATAAATAAAACATCGTTGCCTTTGCCCGTCCATTCTGCCATTCCTACACAATATGCCCCGAAAATGTGTGTACCGTTCATGTCGTCGTCATCGTCGTCGTCGCCATCGTCATCATGTGAGGAGAGAAAGAAGTACAAACACGCACATAAATGGAACGAAAGCGCGCTCGATAGAATGAATAAAAAGTACCATTCCGGATCGATACGTGTATGCGCATTTTGAAGAATAGCACCATACACTGCCGATTCTACTACGATAACGAAAATGTAGTGAATGCGATGTTTCCCTTTTGATTCAGCACATTGTACAGGGTGATGACGGTGGTGTGTATACACAGTGTGCCATTGCCGCTGCTGCTGCTGCTATTCTTAGTCGAGAATGGAAAAAATGAAATGGATGAGAATATAACATGGATTGAATTTTGTGGGTTTTTATGCGCTGGTATGCGAACAACTCAATTTTCGGTCGGTTTTGCGATGCATGAATGTGTAGCCTGTGCTTGACGCCGGCGTACAAAACGCTCTCCTTACTCCATGGTCACTTACTTGTACGGTTTTTTTTATGTGATATGGCAGGCAAATATTATTTGAATGAGTGCAGTTGAGTTCTATAGCCGATGCAGTACGGAACATCCAAAAATCATTTCATCATTTTCACCAAATATCAAAAGAGTGTGTTGAAGTTTCATTTATATTTCTTTTGGAATAAAATCAAACTGTAAACTTTTGTCCAAACATCTACACTAAATGTTATACCGACACATCAACGGAACATTTAGCAATTTTATTTAATTGAGTCGATATTATTTCCTCTTTTTTTTCTTGTTTGTTGAAAAAAGGCAATTGTGAACGATTTCGTGAAGCATATAGTGCGTATTTGTGAATGGCATTCTGAAACGGAGATATAAATCTGTTTTTAACTAACACACACATTTTGAATGGAATATGTTTTGATTATTGTGTGTTTATTGTCACCTTCACTAATAAATATTCAAAATACAAACCATCCAAATCGATAAATCGAAACATAGAGAGAATGTCACAAAAATAAAGGCGACCGAAACGAACACCGAGATTATATACAGAAGGATAAATAAGAAAAAGAAGAAGAAAATAAATAGCAAACATGAAAGAATTTAAAAAGAAAAAATATCCGAAACGAGAAAACGAAGAAAAATCTTCCAAGGATTTTAGTGGATTTCGGTAGATTATAAGAGCCAATAGAATTTGGTAGTGTGTGTGTGTGTGTGTTTGTGTGTGTAAAAGTCTGTCGACAGCGCGAAATAAGACATCTTTGAGCGATTTTGTTTTCTTGTTTGTGTATTTGTACATGCGTGCGAGTATGTTACATGACAACAACCACCGTGTGTTCGTATCGTAAATGTAATAAATAGCGTTTCGCACATATATATATACATACTATCAAAAAAACACACAAAAAATATTATACTATCGAAAAAAGAACATTCGAACGAATGACACACCATAAAAAATCAAATCGAGAGAGAGAGAGAAAGAGGAAGAGCAAAGAAAAATATTAAATAAATATCTGTGCAATACTCTTTCAACTGCGAAAGTTCTATATTAGTATATTATGTATACGAACGCATGGAATACCAAAACGATCAACGAGATGAAATCCGTTCACACAATCAACACAAATATTTGAAATCAAACTTTCAACATTTACAGTTGATGTACGGAAACATTTTAAAATAAACAATATTCATAGTTAAATAGACACACACTAAATAATAGCATAAAAACAAATAAACGAAGTAAAAAAAAGCGAGTTTATCAAATTTCAGTGCATTTGTTTAGCAAAATATTGTTGAGAATAGAAGGGATTGGAGAAGAAGAAAAAAATGGCAACGCAAATGTGATGGCCCATCAGTGACAACTAACTCAATAAAATTTATGATTGAACAATTTTTCCTTTATAAACATAGATAAAAAATGACTTCAAGGCGGAAAACTATTAAACATTCAATGCTATTGTTTGTAAAAAGTGCCATCATTTTATCGGCTATGCCTTACAATAATTAAAGCAAACAAAAAAGTGTTAAACAAATATCTAAGATCTAACGGCAGCACAAACATACAAACGAAACAACAAGCAACTTCAACAAGCAACTTCAACAAGCAACTTCAACATTTGCAATTTGATACACAATTGGAACGGGAGAAAAAATGGCGCTCAAGTGCACAAACAATCAGATAAATCAAACAAATCGAACCAATCGTTCAATGAATTCAATAAATGGCAGTGATTGTAAAATGTTTAAGCGCAATCAACCGCAAGCAAACAACCAGAATAGCAAGAAAAATGTTACAAATAATAAACATAGTAATCAATCGATTAGTTCAAACCAGTGTCAAAAAACAATGTTGAATACCGTTTTACAATTAACGCATAATTGTCGATATGTAAACACAGCTGCCATTTTATTAATTACATTAAATATAATACTATCGTTGAGTCCATGCAATGCCTTCCTATTGGATGGTTCACAAAATTCATTTGCACAGTTTCGCAAATGGTACACTGGTTTGAATGGTTCCTTAGAATTTGAATTCAAAACCGAACAGCCCAACGGGTTGGTATTGTACACCGATGATGGGGGCACATTCGATTTCTTCGAAATCAAATTGGTCGAAGGTGCCGTACGATTGCGATACAATCTTGGCGGTGGTGCAAACATCATCACAGTAGGCAGAGAATTGCATGATGGCCATTGGCACAAAGTACAGGTAAGTAAATGCACATTGTTGCACACTTCAACGAATGCAAAAATTCATTGGAACAAAGTGAAAATCATCACCATTAATTTTCTTGCTTGTCTTTCACATTCTATAGCTCAATATAATATTGAGCAAATTGAGTCAAACCCATAATTAAACCACTAATTTCTTTAAATGCTTTGTCAGCAGTATTCTAACTGCGGGCATGTTGATCCTTTGTTCATTCAATCGAATGGGCCGGAGTATGTGCTATTTTACAAACACTTCGACATTTTTCCATTTTCACAATTTTCGAAATCTATTCTATCGCCAATAATAATTGCTTCACTTCAAATTCAAACTAATCGTGTGTATGTTAAGGACGAAATAGAGAGAGAAAGAATAATACGCTCGATTTGCACATAAGATACCCTTTGACATAATGTTTTTATGTGCGAATAAGATTAGCAAACCAACGTTTGCCTTTTATTCGATACTCTTCATAAAAGTTGCTAAATGACTTTCATGCTGTGCAATGGCTTTTTTCAACTCTCGCTCATCTTGAATAATGTTCTCTCTCTCTTCTCCCGCCTTCCTCTCTCTCTCTCTCTCTCTCTCTCTCTCTCTCTCTCTCTCTCTGTATATATTTCCCTTTCTCTAATAGGCATACATTCAAGGTGTCATATTCATTAGTATTGTCAGGAAACTAAGCATTTGTTTTTTATATAAAAAAAATATCATTCATTCGTTCACTCGAGCACATTGGTACAATGCAATTGCATTCAAATTATAAATGTTGAATAAAACGCTAATTTTCAATGCATCCAAACTACTTTTATATAAATTTCTTGCCTTTTATTCTAATAATCTTTTATCTCTTTCTCTCTTTCTCTCTCTTTATTTATTTTTCTCTTCTTCATTCGATAAGATTCAACGAAGCGACGAACATACAACATTAACCGTTGATGGCGTCTCACAAACACGAACATCACGTGGAAAAGAGTTTCATTTTGGGAAATTCGCAACGAATTCAGATGTATTCGTCGGAGGAATGCCAAATTGGTGAGTAAATTGTGTTAAATCTACTTAAAATATGAGCATGATTATACAGAAGATGTACGTCAATAGAAAATCAAATTTGTGTACGAGTTTTAAATGCATAAAATTTGATCTGCGGCTTCGGTATCATCATCATCATCATCATCATCGTTATGAAATCAAAATTTTCTTCTGTTGAACAATATTTTAATAGCCAAAAAAAAAAAAATGATGGATCAATTCATTTTCTTCAAAGACGTTCTTAAGTGGTTTTCCTTGAACCTATACAAATAAATGGTGGGGGGATAGAATTATCACAGAAACCAAAGACCCGACGATTCACCACTTCCAAAATAATTTGAGCAATTTTTGAGTACGACAATGTTTGTGTTAGGTTTGTGTTCCACTTTCTATGTAGTCAAAAATGAGAATAAAGAATGAGATGGAAGAGGCAAGAAACCAAAACTTTTTCATTATGGTGAATGAAATAAGTGTGCAGTACTTGGCCAAATACATATTGCCTAAAGGTGAATTTCATACATTCCATTGTTTTTAATAATTCCGATGCTTCATTCTCATTTCGTTTTCTAAATTGTTCTTCCGTTCAATATGTGCATCAATCGACATGATTGGAGATTCCGTTTGCGTATTACAAATTTTATTACACTTATGATAGCACTTCGAATAGAGACTTATGGATATGAGATATGGTATATTGTCATGCAAGTACATGCTGCTACAGCTACTTTTTTATAGCTATATTCTTACGTCTCAAATACGGTCGTCGTTGGGTGGTCTTTCTTTGCATTTACAATATATTAGTGCAATTTCAACTTTTCCAATATTGTGAGAATCCGACAAACGATTGCTAGTCGTTATTTACGACATCATATTTGCTATATTCATAAAATTGTCCAATTGACACCGAAAAATCTGAAATCATGACCAACAAAAATCGGACCCATTCGACAATTTCTTTTTTAGTATTTCGTATCCATGGCATTCACATGGTATGTATGACGTGCATCGTTGAGATTCGACGACGATGAGAATGGCAGCAATCAAGTAACCTACAAAAAAAGACAAATAGTAATGGTGAAGAATTGAATATGTTCTAATAATGTATAAAATGACGCAGAGAAAATTAAATAAAATTATTGCCGACGACAAAATATGATGAAATCAAAGGAGCCCGAAAATCGATCAAGTAATGTTGATTTTACATTTAGACGACGATTGAGTTATGTGAGAAATTTTCCTCTTGAGCGTGAACATTTTCTTTATCCGACTCTTTTTTTTTCTCGTTTAATCCATAGAATCAAATATCGCTGATATTGCCATTTTTTGTTCTATCTGCATACACATTGGCAATTACATACATCCACATAATATAGAATTGTCGGCCGCATCCATCACACGTTATCAAATGAATAGAGATCCTTTCTTTTTCTATTTTTTTATATTAACACTGCCACTGCTCATATCTCAACACTTCTATGTTTAATCTAATTGTTTTCGATGTGATGTTGTGAATGGTATATATAAGTGTGACCTCAAACAATGCGTAGATTAAAAGGGAGACGAAAGAAGAATAAAAAAAAAAGAAAAAAACCGAATTGGATTTATCTCTGATTCCAGTGTGTTCGTTTGGGCTGTGGAGGGTAAATAGATTTGACCGAAGCAGATCGAAGTGCTTTCGGTTTGCTGATGAAATTGCAACGCTTCCTTCATGTGGTGTATTTTGTGTGCCGGATATTGTTTTATGCGAGCATGGTGGGTGTATAAAATGCGATAACATCATATATTGCTGTGCACGCACACAAGTGTGAAGCGCAACTTTTAAAAACTATTATTTATATCGATCGATATTTGTTTTCTTGTCACTTGGTTTTCTGGCGCTTCACCATTTCTTATATCGTTTGTTTTTCTTCGTCTTTCGTCTTCTGCTTCTTTCGTTTTCACTTTAATATATTTAGCTGTGCTTCGTTTGGTTTTTATGCATTTAAACTTGGTTGTTGCCAATTTCTCGCTTCGTTCGTTTATCGCTACTTGAGCTTTAGTCCTAAGCATGTTGAATGTATTTTGCGTCAGTGTTTCAAAGTTTGGTTGGGTGTTGTTTTTTTTTTTGTCTTCATTCGATGGTGTACAGTGACAATGGCGCTAAACAACTGTACGATTGGAAGAAACACCGAAGGGAAGTGAACAAGATAGATACACTCACACTTATACGCAAATTCACGTTACGATTATCGCATATCTTATTGCATAAAGCATTGCGTCTAAGTGTGTGTGTCTAAATCTGTATCACATTTTCTCCCCACATTTCTATGGCTTTTGCGATACAACCAATGCGATTTTCATGCTGCAGTCACACAATAACAATACTTTTCGCTTGTTTATCTTGAATTGAGCATTTGGATTGTAGTATGTAAAGTATTTTGAAAATTGAACATTCACGTCCAATAAATATGCAATTTAATGGTCGAATATCCAATTCAATGTATATGCAAGTATATTCGATTTTCCAAACAATATCTGCATCGTTGCGTTTTGAATGGAACGGTTGAAGCCCAATTAAATCTCTTCTTTTTCTAAATATTCGAAAATAATAGCTTTTCAACAAATTGACATCGAACAAAGCAAGCAAATCAAATCGTTCATGATACTTCGCACACCCCCTCTCCCCTTCGAAAATCACACATTTTCAACATATTGATTTAATCTTTTTAAAATGTTTAACAAATATTCTAATCAATATAATGTATCGGATAAAATTCTTGATACAGGCTGAGGGGAGAATGCATTAGAAACTGAGTCATTTCCATGAAAATGATTCATTGCTTACATTTTGGAATGTGTATTGAATGTTATCTTGGTTTCTCTTCTTCCCTCCCTCTCTCTCTCTATATATCTCAATTTCAATGTGGTATAAGGCACGCCAACAAATTGTGATTGCTTACGTTTGTTTCGTATAATCATAAGCACACCAATATGATAACCACCCAAAATATAGACGAAACGATATGCTAGAGAGAAATCTTTGGGTTTGAGTACGTGCGGTCATAAAATAAAATGAGTTTATTGTAACAATTTTAGTCATTTGGGAACGATTGTTCGATGCTCAAACACTTTATTCTTTATGGGTGGCATAATCATTTTGACTAATATATTTAAGATATAATGTTACTATGCGTGTGTATCTGTATGTGTGCCGAGAGTGAGATTTTGATGCCAAAAAATATTGCGAAACGGATATGAGACGAATGTATGTAATGTTTGCATATTTGCTTTCGGCGCCCATTAAAAAAATCAATTTCCAAACAAAAACCATTCTATCAATCTCACTGAAAATCAATAAATTTACTTGCTCTTCATTTCGGTGCCCATCAGCTCACACAACAATGAACGTTTCTATTTTATAAAAAATGTATACGATCGATGAAGTGATGGCGGTATTCCAATTTTGAAAATGCATATTGGTCATTTGGTGCTCATGTTTGGGCAGAAGATACATAGTTTGTGGCGTTTTTCGCAAGCATCGACACCATTTATTGAACAAGCAAAAGCAGTGGATTTACTACCGTCAAAAATATTGCGTTGGCTTAATGGTCGAAGATTATGTGCGGTGGCCTACGCTATATTCAGCTTTGGCAAATGCAACAATAAATTTGAAATATGATGGTGGCTTTCATTTAGATTTCAAATCTGATATTTCTTCTTCATTTTTTTTTTTGCAATGGCAAAGCACATTCAGAAAAGCGTTTTTTACACTGCCTGATGGGCTTCTTAACTTCCAGTCATAATTGGTTAAATCATTTTGTATATTTCTATGCGTTTTTTTCTCTCTTCCTTTTATTTCATTCTTTTTAATCGCTCTTTGGCCACGGCAAAAAAGAAAACTTGAACGAACGATTTAGAAAATTTTCAAACAGAAATGTTTATTAACACAGTAATTTGCTTTTTAAATATTTGAACTAAGCTTTTTTTCAGTTAGAAAACAAAAGAGAAAATGAATGAGTGAGAGAAAGTTTGTTTTGTTTTAAAAAAATTATTTATGTGGATGTGCGTGCGTAAAGCATGGCTACCACAACAATGGTTATACACGTTTATAGTACGCTCATACCCATCTTCCACTTGAGATTTTATATGTTGTTGTGTTTTCTTGTCTACCTATTTTTGTCTTTTCCATGTAATCGTTTGCATTATTATGCGAATGGAGCGCCAAACGAATGGAAGAGGATACCGGGAATAAAAAGAAAGTACACACACATACCTATATATAAAGTATTAAAGTGACTTTTTTACTTTGTCATTTATCGTTTTTTTTCGCCACTTTTAAATTTAAAAGCTTTAAAAAATTATGTAAATTTTCATCGCTTTCTCTTTGTATCTGCCGTTCTGTCAACTTTGGTTTGTCGCCGCTGGAATATTTTTTGTTTCGCCGTTGTTTAAGCGTTTTTGCTACGTATTCTCAAGTTGAAGCATATACACTTGTGCTTGTGCAATGAATGGGGGGAAATGACAAGAAAATAAAATCGCTGTATGACAAAGGACGAAAGGAAGAAAGGCATATATTTATTACTTCAATATGAAAATCTATTTGTTTGAACATGTTCAGTTCGGTCTTGTTGTTTCCTTAGCACTAATATTTACGTGCAGTCGAATTGAGGTTTCTTCGGTTTTTGAACTAATTACGTGGACTGCATCATAAGTCATTTTTAATTAGCAACAATTCGTTGTTTTTCAGTCTCCCAGACTGCTATGTCTATCAATATTTACTTGTTCAGCAATAAGACTATGCGCTTTTATGGATGAACAATGCTACAAAGTTGTTCTAATGTTCTTTGGCTATACGTGTAAAAGCTCGATGAGTCACGAGAGAAGCGCTCCAAATGTTACCAAATATTACTCGCAAACCATAAAAAGAGCGCACACGATAAATAAACATTACAAACTTACAACGGTCTCGCTACATTGCCACACATTCTAAGCTTCTCTCTATTTCTCTTTCTTGTTCTCTCTTTATTTCACTCTCTTCTCTTACCAGTCACCAACGGTTTTTCTAAATAAGTGAATTTATTATTTTATATTGCTCATTTTTGCCAAATCCCAACGGGGAGCATAAGTTCCCTTTTTTCTCTGTGTTTACATGCAAAAACACAGTTCTCGATTTCAAAAAAAAAAAAAAAAACATTTCAAGAATTTTAACTGCCTAAATGAATGAGCAAACAATAATCGTGGTTACAATATACATTTTACTGACAAATCGTCTAATTCGAATGAGCATAATGAGCTGTGCGCAATTTTCACTTTTATTACTGATTATTTTTCGAGTATATAATGGCTGCAGACGATCATGAGCAACAAGTTATTTTACCAAATTATTACATTTCTTCACATTTAAAATTACTGATATATTTTATTGTCATTTTTGGTGCCAACATAATTTTACCATAGTACACACATTATTTTAGTCATTTATGTGAATTTTGTATGGATTCAACTCGCTAACAATAAACTTTTCAAGTGGTATTTTGATAAGCTAAGGAATTGACTTTTGGTCACGCTAAGAAATTGAATCAACTGAAATTTCAAATGAAATCGATACAAAGTCATGAAATTTTTTCAGTTAATGTCCGGCCAATAAAAATATCAATACGTGTATTTAAAAAAGAAATATATGCCATGTTAGTTGCACACGTGACATTCGGAAATAATCGTAAATCAAACAATTTTATGTATGAAATCTCAATGTAGTTCCAAGGCAAAAATTTGCCTAGTATAAATTACTCACATCCAACTTTTTCGCGGTTGGCGCAATACGAAATTGTATGTCACAATCATAATTTTTTTCATTGAGAATATGTTTTTTCTCAGATGTTTTTTTTTGATTTTATGCTTAATCAATATAATTCTTGAAAATGCTAGTTAAGTAGAGTTTATAGTTTGGTCAAATAATAATTGAAGGTAGAGAGAGAAAGAAATTCGCCTGAATGTTTTAAGCCAACTGAATGCTTTGAATGTATTTTGACTGGATTTTATTAAGTTGGTTAATAAACATGGCTACTTTTATGAAAATAGTAGTTCGCTTTGAAAATGGGTCCCAAATGAACGAATTTTTACTGTGCAAATTGGTCCAATTAAAATTTAAGGCAGGCACCCCGACAGCCCGAGAACGTTGAAAACAACGAAAATGCAAATAACGTGGCCATTATTGGGATTTACAATATTTAAAAACAAACCATCGGAACGTTGCTGATTGCATTCGCCGCGGCATTGATTCGGTTTTCTTTGCCTTTTTGCTCTCGTTAAATTCAGTAACAGTGAGAAAGAAACAACACCACATTTTATGCTAATATTTTGTTTCTTCCGCCGTTGCCGTGTTGTATGATGTTGTCGAGAAAAGGTGGCGATGGTGTTGGCTTATTTTCTTTTCCATCACTCCTTCTCTCTCTCTCTCTCTCTCTCTCTCTCTCTCTCTCTCTCTCTCTCGAAAAGTGCTTTAGAGCATAGAATTTTGTGAAAAAAAAGAAAAACAAAAAACTTGACATGAAAAAGCAAGCGATGAGAGAAAGGTCGAGACCGTGTGTCTAATTGCAAATGAATGTTGCCGTCGTATGCATACATTAACGTATTACTTCGTGCGATGTGTGAGAAGAGTGAAAAAGTCGAAGTACTCACAATGATGTTGGGTTGCGCTCAAACTCTGTGATGCAAAAGTGGCTAAAACAAGCTATAATGGCAGAGTGCAGTTTTATGGCACAAATATATGCGCATTATGTTGTTGTTATAAAACATAAATAGGTATGTGTGTGCGCATGGATCCAGTCTACGATTTTATATGCTTATAATAGATTTCATACATAATAAAAATATACATTTTCGCGAGCGCCTTCGTTAGGATATGCACGATCGCTATTTTTCCACCAAATGCCAAAACCATAACCCAATTATGACGCTTCGATACATTCGTGGATGTTGGAATTAATTTTCTGACATTAATTGAAAAAAAAAAAACGAAACACAATCTGAACAAAAGTGATTTCTCGAAGAACCATTTCGTTCACCTGGATTTTTGTTTGTGCAGTTCATTTTCTCACTTTTCTCTCGGTCCATCTGTTCCAATGAAAGCACACAAGTTGTTGTTCAATAAAAAAACTTTTTCGCTAATCTTCTAATAACATGATTTCGACATTTCTCTTTGGATTTTATGTGTGATCACAAAGCGGTGTCATTTATAACAAGTGCGTCTATCAAATATTTGCAAATAATCTTCACATCATTACCAGACAATATATTTAGCTGTCGTCATCTGGATATTACAGCTCATCTGGATATCGTCAGCAGATGATGCGAAGTGAAAACAATAGAAATTATTGTTATAGTTATATAAGCTTGTTATATAGTGGTATTACTATAACAATCACTTCTATTGTTTTCACTTCGCATCATCTGCTGACGGCATCCAGATGAGCTGAAATATCCAGATGACGGTAGCTAAATATATTGTCTGATCATTACTCACAAAATGGTCGGCGAATGTTGTTCAATAAAATTGTGTTTATTAATGAAAGTGATGCATTTTTGGCTATCTTCATCTTGTTATCAATAATCAATTCAATAAAAATTTATTCAATCACAAATAATTTAACATGGATAAAATGATTTGCAGAAAAAAAAATCCACATCAAATAAAAGTATATTTATATAATAGCCAATGAATATTGTTCATGTTTTTTTTTTTTTTTTTCAACAGGTACAACTCAAAATTAACATTATTAGCCCTACCAAGTGTGATATATGAACCAAGATTTCGAGGTTCAATAAGAAATTTAGTGTATTCAGATCAACCAAATGTTCCACCGCGACGACAAGAAATGCGACAGCCCAGAGATACTAAAGTAAGTAATTTAGATAGTAAGTTTTTGTCAATTCCATTTGATGTCAAAGTGCACAAAATCATTAAAATACATTTTTTTAACAAAATATATTGAAAATCTCACAATGACTCTATAAAAACGCTTTAAACGTTTGATGCGATCAACGGAAATGTGTATTATAGCTTGTTACACGCTGAATGACATATTCCATTAATTGTTTGCTTTAAATGTCTCTAAGAGAAAACACAAAAAGCGGGTAACTCACATCTTTCCACTTTTAATTCAAAAAATGACGCAAAACATGATAAACAAAGTGTTATGTGAAATAGACATAGCCACATATATTGAGGAGAAAATACTGCAGCGGAAGAGGCCAACAAAAAGTCTGATAGAATGCACTGAGCGAAAGAGCTATTAGCATGCAGCACATAGTGGCAAGAGCAGCAGCAGACTTCATTATGCATTTTAGTTTGTTTCCCGCTAAATATTTGAACGATAAATGAAAAACATTCTAGAGAGTAAAAGAGAGAGAGAGAGAGAGAGAGAGAGCACTGGAACAAAAATAACAGCGAATTGAAAATGAACGATGAATACGGCGAATAATTCTATTTTAATTTAAATTCCAAACTTCATAGCGCTAATGGCAATAGATTTAATTTCGAAAAAATTCATTTTCAACCGTATACTCTCTACAGTTGAATCGATGGAAAATTCGACAAATGCAACAACAAGCTACTTTTACCAACTTTATTCTTTCTTGCTGCTATTATTTTGCCATTCAGTAGCGTTAATTCAATATCACTTACACATCGCAGTAAACCACACCGCCCATTCTACCTATCGTCGTTTTTTTCTCCATTTTCTTCCGATAAACCAAAGTTTGGTGTAGTAAATGTAACAAGTTTGTGCAATATTTCATATTTCTGGATGGGATTCGAATAAAAAAAGTGCTATAAAATTGCATAAGACCGAATAAAAGTGTGCGATTGCCTCTTGAATTAAATACACGGAAAGCAAAGCCCAACTGAATTGATTAGTCAACATTTCAATTAAAGATATTTTCTCGGTTTCCTTTCATCGTACAGAGCTAATTACAGTGATTTCAAAGGAAAAACGAACATATTTGTGTAGCTGCCTGTAGCTGAGAAAAAGGAACAGAACAAAATGAAGGCAAAGGCGACAAACTGCACGAATGGAAATGAAGTAATTTGTGTTTCAAGCGAACAAACTTATCAGAGAAAAAAAGAAGAGAGGAGAAGAAAAAACGAATACTCACGCGATTAATGAAGGTATAAAAGTGAACAATGACGGAGTAATCTGTAACTGCGATAAATTTTTGCCACTTCGAGTTGTCACTTTTGTTAATTTGATTTTCTTCAGTGAGATTGGGCACTTTTCTTATATTTATACTCTACGCTTCTTATCACGCGAGAAAGGTCTCTCTCTCTCTCTCTCTCTCTCTCTCTCTCTCTCTATTAAAGTGGCGATTTACATAGATTTACTCAACCATTCAATTTGAATAGTAGTGATGATTGAAATCGACAGTGTTCTTTCAAAACGGCGGGAAAAAAATCGTAGAAAAAAATAAATGTAGGAAAAAGGGGAGCGAATATTCATCGCTTTGATATGTAAAGTTGTATTTTTTGTTACTTGCGCATTTCTCTCTCTGTTGCTTTTGTGAATTCGAACGGAACTGTCGATGGCATCGCAGTGACTTACAGTCAGGTGCATCACTATATAAACGATAAGATGAATCATTTTTATTTGACTAAATACCCAGACGCTTGATTCAGTTTTTTGTTCGCCCGTGATTCTTAGAAATTCACAAATTATTTCGATATCAACTGACGCAGTACTTATCTTTTGATGTATTCCTGCCTATTTGCGTTTATCGCCTTCTCCCCACTTCACTGTTCTTCTGTATGGTTTTCTTATTCAACTTGACTTCATTCAGCCATTCTATTGCTCGTTTCCAATAAATCAGGTTTTATCTGGTGCAGGCGAACTTCTCGCTTCTTATTTGTATAACTCAATTTTGTTGGCATTTCTTTAAATCGAAGGCTTAGAAAATGGAAATTCCGAACACACACACACAAGAATGGGTAACATTTGTACACATTTTCACAAACGATAACAACAAACCACGCATACACACTCAACCACTGAAAGAAATAAAGGTGCGCCAACGTGCACGCCTAATGGATAGAAATCGATTTGATAGCAACGAACGTAACTTTCGACTTTCGTTTTGCTGATAATACTTTATGAAAAAAATGTTTCAATTGTTGGTTTTTCCCGTACAAATAAATGACGCATTTCATGCAATACCAACCAAATTTCATGCAATATATGCGTGTTCTATGTTTTGAAGCAATGAGACATTTGGTGTCTTCAAAAAAAAGGACTAAAATTTATATTATTTTTCAAACAAAAAAAAATCATTGCTGAACCGAATCATTTCGAAACACACGTTCATAAATAGATGGATGTCATAAAACAAGTGAATCTAATCATCATTTTTGTGTTATCATAAAGTCATTAAATTCTGCGTGTATCCATTCAACGATCCACTTAAATACATAATGGCGATTTAAACTTTACGTAAATGTCTACTTAATTTTACAATGGCTGTTAATTTGCCATTTTCATCCGTGCACAATTTGCTGCCGTTTTTAAATTTTACGAGCAGACACGTCAACGTTCAATATAAATACCTCATAAGCCATGCCATAGATGTGATTCATTTCACATTATTGCAAAATTTCTCTAGTCATTTCGTTCTGCTAGCTTGATGGCATTAAACAAAATATTGCCAACGAAATGAGAGACACATTTTAAAAATCGATCAAAAACATTTCAACGAAAGGTCAATGAAATTAGTTTTCATTTTAATGGAACTGCAAACTTATACATTTTCAGCATAGATTTATGAGTTTTTCCATCGTACATGGAACCTACTTGTCCAAGTTTGTTCACTTTTGCAATTTTTTCTGACAGATGCCATATTTTGATATTTTTTTCTCACAAAAATTATGGATTCATATAATCTGCAGAGGAACACGTTATATTCAAATTATAGTGTATTTAATTTTAATTTTTATATGAGCTTTTGAGTGAAAATCCACAAAAATGTCAAATCGGGCAGAAAAAATCTCACAAATGATGAAAATTGGACGAGCCTAATGGGCAGTGCACAATTTTGCTTGCAAAAAGCAAAGAAATGTTGTTTTACGCATTAAGTAAATTATAATTTGTATGAAAATGTCAGCAATACTGAACATGTAGCGCTATTACACACACACATCCATAATAACTTGATGAACTTTGTTCGCACAATTGGCTTATTATAGATTTTTTCTTAATGGTACGCTTTTTTTAATATTTGGTCGGACTTTTCAACGTGTCAACATTGATAAATTCACTGAATTCATGAGTAAATTTGCGCTTTTATTCTGCTTTGATGAATAATCATTTCATCAGCATCACACTCCATCTCACCCTCTTTCAACTGCTTTCGATCCTGAGAGTTCAGTTTTGTAGCAATGGCTTTTTCGCATAATTTCACCTATGACGCACTGATGAAAATATATAGATGTGTGTGTGTGTGTCCCGATGACGTGGCTACCAAACAATATAAAATAAATCAGGTTATTTTGGAAAAGAAGAGCCCAAAAAAAGAATGTCCAAAATTGAAAATGTTACCATCGTTTGACGGTTTTGAAATTATAGAAAACCAAATAAATTTAGCATGAACGTTTGCTATAAACGGAGACAAAAATGCCATATGAACCAACCCAACACAACATATATTTTATTCATGGTTTTAGTTCGGGTATTTGGTATGGCCATTGCCATATAACCTATAAATATTGCACGGTACTTGGCCGTAGAACGTTCATTTTCACATTTTCATATTGAATATTTACACACACTCACACGCGCACAAACACACACACAGAGAGAGAGTGATATATAAAATTCTCTCCGATTTTTTTATCCCTTTTCAAGCCACACTGTTTCACTTGTACTACTTGTAGTAAACGTATTGTACTCTATTTTATTCGGGATAGTTTTATTTTCTATTCACATAGTCGCCGACTTTCAATGAGTCGCCGCATCATTTGTTCGAATGATTCGAAATGGCGTTGACAAAATGAAAATCGAACAAACAAATAATTTTGATGGCGAAAACAATTTATGTGGTTGAAATAATTGTGTTGACATGCATCCCGCCTCAAAACCATGGCCAATTTAAACAACTTGCATTTTAAATATATATACACAAATACACCGAAAAAAAAACCATATAAATATCGAATTATATAGTATAATGGACAACATATTTATGTCAAATGCAGCACAGGCATAGACACAGCTCATCAATAAAATCAATCCATTGCATTACTTCAACACAATTCCAATTTTGTTTTTCATTATGGTTGCATTCAAACTCGGTTGGCGGCATTATAGTCTCTAAGAGATTGTCTCCCGCAGTCCAGCACTAATTTTGTGAATCAATCCTCTGGATGTTACCAGTTGTATTTTGGGACAATGTAATTTCTATGTACTGCATCGATTCAATGACAGCAATCTTCTCATTTTTATAGCCATAATCGACCAAAAAAAAGTAAAAAAAAGGCACGTAAAAAGGGATATTTACTAAATCGCAAATCTCACATGTCGCAGTGTTCGTTTTTGGTCATCAATGTAAAATAGAAAATCGATTTTGTTTTTGGAGGAAGAGTGGCGCCGCTATAAAATATAAATTCCACCTACAGAGCATCGATTAATATTGAGATTTTATACTTTTTGCCCGTTGTAGTAACGGCCCAATACGAAGCCAGTGGCCTAATACGATGTCAATGAAAAATATATGTGTAGGCAATGCCGTCAAGCTTAATGTGTGTTTTCGTGTTCAGTAAATTTCGGAAATAATGATATGAATTCGTTAATTAAATATTAAGTATCGCCTACAATAACATTTGCGCTTGTACATGACCATTTGCATGTGTGTGTAGAGAGAACTAGAATATAAAACAAAGTGTCCATTTTTCGAGTGACGAAATCCTCCCTATTCTATTTTTGTATATGAATGTATGTGGTAAACTCTAACTTTAAAGCACTCACAATATTCTGTATTTATAGCGATCGAATCCACATTCATAAAATTCCATTTGAAATAAGTTTGAAAGAAAAATGTCATTTATCCGATTTATCCAGCCATGTAATAAAGAGCTCTCTCTCTGAATTGCGCACCTATTTACTTCGTTTATCGATCAAAAATTCCATAATGAATATGGACAATGTCCATTGGACATGGTACAAATCAAAAATTATTTTCCGCTCGAAATGGTATGGACAAATGTATACCATTCCAAAGTGTTTTCATCAGCATATTTTTGATGATGTAGTTTATTTATACGATTAACGATATCTATTGTTGTTTATCGTGTAATCGTCGCTTTTCCAACAGCCACTGCCGTAAAATGCATTATTTAAATACAATTTGAAAAGCTCCATTAGGATATCGATTTTTTTTTTCTATTTTCTACTTTCAGATAAATAATTCAAGAGATTTTATATACACTAACATGGTCTATACATGTTTTTATTTTTGCTCACCCTTATCAAAGTTGCTTCGCAAAGAGGCAGGCAAACAGACTTATTTATCATTTCAACTTACATTTCCATTTTTGACATTCTCCTCAAATTCTGTCAATTTAATTCTTACTTGAGAATTACTCGACATTTTTTTTTGTTTGTTTTCTCAAAGGAACATTTGCCAAGGTAAAACACTCTTACCGAATTTAATTTTGGAATTTAATTTGAATTTATACCGAAAACTACGAGCATTTATTTGAATGGTGTTCGGAAAAGTTCATTTCATTTAATAGAGGTTTCAGCAGGAAACTATGGCCATTTTTATGAATGTTTTCTTTACTTTTTTATGTAAAGCAAAACATAATGAAATATTATTATTATATTTATCAAACACTCGATGTGTTTTTTACATCACAATATTTATGTAATTTAATGGATTCTGGTTGTATCAATGTGATTGTATTGTCATTTAAATGAATTTGCATCATCTTCGAATGATACCAAATTAATTAGTGTAGAAGCAAACCAACAGTGACATAAAAGGGATAATCAATTTTCTGTTATGTTCAACAATTTCTTTACTTCTAGTGCGGTGATTCACCATGCGATCAAACTGAGGTCCCAAAAGAAAAAGTGACAAGGGTAAGCGACAATTTATGTCTATAAAAAACAAAGAATTGGAGATAGCCAAATAGAGAGAATAAAGTAGCTCTCTAAATACACTTTTATTTTAAAGTAGTAGCATAATATCAACTCTTTCATTTCATTTCGTCTTCGTTTTACAATCCAATTTAAAAATATGTGTGTGTTGTTTCATATTGCCTGTATTTGCTTTGATTTGTTACCGTTTCTTTGTACAATCGTTTTCTGTCATATTTTTGTTTCAGTCATCAATTTTATGTAGTGAACATAGATAAAGATTTTGGAAAGTAGTGTTTACCAGTGCACAACAGAGATCTATGTAAATACTTAACAAAAGCACTGATAAAGTGTTCAAAATGTTCCAATTTTCAATGAACATGCACTGATAAGCACCGGCTGATTAAACTTTCAAAACTAACATAGAACGCGACTACAAAGGAGCCAAAACTTTTTCAAAGAAACAACATTGTTGTACATTATGTAACTATCACTATAATTATTGAAATACATGGATTCCATTCGACATTGCGAGTATATAAGATACATTTTTTCCATTTGATTTGATTTTACCTTATTTGTTTCATTCAGCGTACCAATCAATATGAATCATTATATTCGACTTTCGACTTGTTTCAACCGAAATTCGACAATGGCCGTCGTCATTTGGCATGTCTATGAACATGACGAAAATTGCAAAGAAAATTCCACTTTGTTCCATTTTAAATAGGATTTTATTCACAGAGATTCAGTAGAACGATATGGAAAAAGTGCGACAAATTCGTTCAGTTATGCTCGATAAAAAAAGCGAAGAGAAAACAAGAAAATCCATCGGCAACATGGTATTTGCAAAACAACAAGACGTTTGTAATTTTCTCGCATTTCATGCCAAACAAGTGTAGTTTCTTGTTTCGTTCTTCGCTTGGCGTTTTCAATTGGTGCGAAAGTATGAAACGCATAGAATAGCCCAATAATCAATCAATGTTCAAGGTTTCGCCCAATTACTCGTATTTATTAGCAAAAACATTGGGGATAAGTTTTTTTGTAGTTTTTTTTTCTCGGTCGGTTAATTGGTGTCGAGTGTAGTTTCATGAAAGAATAACACTTTTTTTCTGCCACATAAGTGGATGTGGAATGTTAAAATTTTCAAAGACACCATTTTCATTTCACACCAAGGATGGCTAAATATCATAATGCATGCATCGAATAAATTTTTCATTAAAATACCATTATTGTTAATATTATTATTGTTCTTTTTGTTGTTGTTGCGTCAGTCAATTTCAATTATTGCTCGCCAATTTTTCACATAATTGTGCGGTCTAGTTGCTTCCACAAAATTGTGCCATAACATGACACATAATAGATATTGGAGTAGTAAGCGCACATTTATGTTGACGGATTCAATAACCAACCATGAAAAATGAAATACAATCAATTTCCTGTGGTTACATAAATGTGTCTGTGTGTTCCACGAAAGGGTGGAATATTTTCCTAAATGGTGTCTTTTTTTCTCTATTAAACTTGTTCAATATACGTAAATAAATGCATAATGGAAATAAAGAAAAAAAATGTTTTGTTTTATAAATGCATGCATGTAACGTATCGATATGAATTCATTGTGAATCAATGCAGATTATTTTGTAGTCAACGTTGATTGAAAATAAAGATAAAAACAAAAATGTTTGCTCAAGAAATTAACCAACTTCAAATGACACACCTTGCACACACACAAAACATAGTTTGCACAACAAAAACCTCACCAATGTGTCATGAACTGTCACTCGTACAAAACCGACCGTTGAGATGAATATTTTAGCAAATTGTTGGACGACAGACTTTGCCAAAAGAGAGAGAGAGAGGATAAAAGTTTTTTTCTCTCTCTCTCTCTCACTTTTTCACTTTTTTACTCATTTTCTTTACGCTTGCAGTTCTTCTCTGTGGAAATGTGGTTAGTTGGTTTAACTGAATTTCGAAAATCAAGAGTATTTTTGCAATGGTTTATTCAACAACATTTATAAGGAAAACTTATAGATGTAACTTCCTTATGTGTTGACTGCCTACGGAAATGGGAATTGCTCACAATTACACCACGCGCACAATACGCATCGATAAACCAATGTTGCATGCAAATATTTGTTAAAATGCTGGTTGTTTTGGTATATTGGAGCTTTACACACTTCTTAGTGTATGAAAAGTACTTTCTATATCAACAATGGAGAGTTGCTGTTGTGGTCTCTGGAGTGTAGTCTTTCTTTTCGACAGCATCGCAATCCAAATTTCTATTTCTAAATATTGAAGTGGATGAGACACTTTAGCGCTTACGAAATGTATAGGCGCCTATGTTAGTTTCATTGTTATAAAGCATCCGAATGAAACAACAATCGGTTGTTATCAATGTTACGCGTACACATCCAGTAAAGGGAGAAGAAAAAAAACAAGAGAAAAGGCAGAAAGCATTCATATATTCAGTTGAGAGTATGCGAACCCCTTGAGTATTTACGAGAAGGTGTTAAAATATCATAGATAAAACCACAACATTTGATGCGAATGAAGAGTATGAGGCTGTCAAGTGTTTTCTTATCAAGGCAGCTAGGCTGCTTGGTCGAATTCAGGCTGATTTTTCATCGTAAAGTCGTTACATTTTTCGACTGGACACTATGGTTTTTTGATTAATTTGCTATGACACAATGACAACGAAGAGAATAATAACAACTGTTCAACTGATGTGATGAAGAGTTTTTCTGCACATATTATTATCCATGTGATATGTATTGAGATAAAATGGGGGTCGGTGTTCGCATCACGATGACCATGGATGTTTTAAATCGTGGGATGATTTTGATTGAAATGTTTTTCAAAGCCGATGGTAACGACCACCAATGGACGGCTTTTCATTTGTATAGAAAAAAAGATTTAATTTCAACAAGTGTGTAGCGTTTGTTGGATAGAGTCATACGCCTGCTGATTGAATGCGGTTTACTGTGAGCACCCGAACTCATGATCGAATGCAATGGCTATTAAAACAAAAGGACATGATTTTCACCACAATTAGTGACGTTAAACCGTTTACGATAAACATTTTCATCGGCTCACTACATAATACATCACAAGCAGACATAAATGCTTGAATACACCAAAAATGAGGACACATACAAGGGAAAAAAAATAACGAGATGAAAAGAATGGAAAGCTGAATGGAAATCGTTTTGGTGACGGAAACTGTTCTTGAACATGACATAAGTCCATAGATCATGAAACACTCAAAACATGTAAAATGGATGATGCATAAATTGTAAATTACACAGAGCCACATATTCACATGTGCCTGCTTACGCACATAAGTACCCAAGATTGAGCGTTCGACTCGTATCGCTTGTCATGCTTATAATTTAATATTAATGATTGTAATGGCTCTTTGAACACTTATACTGTACGCATTTGTCACATCGTATAAACATTTTCACATATCATAATGCCACTGTAAGCATTGCACATTTAACCAATAACGTATCTCCGTTTTAACTCAAGAGGTGGGCTAAAAACCTTTGATTTGTTGAACGACATAATCGCCAATGACACGTCGATTTGCACGAAACTTATTCGGCGATTCGTCAAAGTGCTCAAATCAAACACGAATTTATTGGCCTGGAATGTATACAAATAGAAATGTGTGGTGAAATAAATGGCATATGGTTCTGAAATAAAACGAAAAGTAAACACAATATGTCGACTATAGTTTGGTTAAACATCACAACATCGAATAAAAAAGAATGTGCCACGAATAGCTGTTTTTGCTCTTTCACTTACCCGTCTTCGCTCATTTATTTTTCGTCTTGATCGTATAGTTATTTCGAAAAGTTCGCCTCATTTTGCGACCATTCAAAGGCAAGTCATGTGGTTCATTGGTCAAAATAAAACTATTTCCGCAATCACGACACGTATGTTTAAAAATTAAGGATGTTCGTGTGTTGGTTGCTCAAGACGTACGGAATAACATACATTCACTTACGATACAGATGCACAAATTCATGACGGATAAACTGATGAACCACGTTTTCGGGATATTTTCACGCCATTTTGGATTCGTATTCGTTCACTTGCGTTGGTTTTAAATGTTTGATTTCAACTTTGTTTGAGTGTAATTGCGCATGTGACTTAATACACGTTCCTTTATTGGTTAACCAAAAACTACCATCAATTCTTGAATGAATTTTACGATTTTTCTCCTTATTCAACAAAAGAAATGACCGCATATTTTTGAGAAATCTATTCGCATGGGGGCAGCTTGAATTAAGTTTGACTTTTTTTGCAAAACTTTTTTTAACACTTTTATTGACATTTTTTTTTCTTTTGTGGATTTGATAAACATCACAAAACCAATCTTGTGTTCAATTTCACAATTAGAAAATTTAAAATTCATCAGCAATATTCGTTTCTTGAAATGTAGAGCTATTGGATTTGTTAGTTTTTTTATTCATCAGCCACCATGTAAGGCGTGTTTGTCGAAATTTTAACAGTGAACTTTCGGCTGTTATCCTTTTTAGATCAGATAAGACCAGTCCATCATAGTCTTTCTACTAAAATGGATCCACATAAAAAATAAAAATAAAAAATGTTAAGCTTTGAAGATCTAATTGCCAAAATCAGATTGTTTCTCCCGAAGGCAATGACCACCTAATTTGATCATATATCTTGATAAACAGTGGTATATAAATTCAAGTCCAACACGATTTACCACGCTTATTAAGGTCAGCTATCATGGTCCATCATGCCAACTATTACTATGGGTATCGTTGAAAAAACCATTATAGACTGTGGAAATTATGATGATTTATGCGCCGTAAAACATTAATGGATGCGAGTAAAACGATCATCCTTGTTCCGTATTGCTCAACCTATGTGCTAAAGAAGATTATAAAAATCAACTTATAGTTTTTCTACAAATGATTCAAACACAGTTTTATAGGCTCACAAATGACTTCGAACATTTATTGATAAGTCAAAGCTATTTTTCAACAACGGATTTTGAAAATGTTAAAAAAGCTCATCATTTTTATGGAAGCTGATAACCAAAAAAAAAAAAAACGTAAAACAGACTTATTTCGAAAAGGAAAATGTTAATATATTAAATGACCTGATAGAAATAAGGATAACGTGTTTTTAATCGACGTTCGATTCTTTTTTTCAAACTGTTGTCGGTTCAATAAATGCCGAATTATGGCAAAAATAAATCTGTATTCGGAATATTATTGTTGTGTCTAGAAAATCTTTATATCTTTCAAATAAAGAAATATTTCTTACGACTTTGGTATGATTGTGGACAAAACAAAAGGTATTGATTGTCATAAGATTGAGCGTCGCACATAAATGCTTAACAAAAAAAATAATACCGAGCAAAATCGCTCGGAAATTCATCAAGAAAAAGATATGTCTTGTTTTCTTTGGAAAAACTTTATCAATGGTGTGGTTAAGTATACTGCTGAAAAGTGTCGCAAAATGGAAATAAAAGATGAAGTAGTTCATCGGTAAAAAGAAAACTGTTTCTACTGGTGTGAGGCCAGCGAAGAAAAACGGTGCCCAAGAGATGACGGTGTGCATGTAATCGATGAAACAAAGTGAGAACATTCAACAGAACATCGAATACAAAAACACAAACCGCATATACACAAACTGAGCGCGACAACTGCAAAAGGCGTATAGAAAAGTGCATTCTGATCAAAGACTGGATGTGCTTGAGAGCATTGTAACCACTGTAAAAATGGCGGGCTAAGGACGTCATTTTGGTGAGGTGTTTTTTTCTTTAATTTATTCTTGCTACTTTGTCTCGAAACGTGCTCATCATATTGATACATTGATTGTGAACTACGGTATTCAATCGGATTTTCCACCTTCTCTTTTCTATTTTGGTGTTCATTTTGTTGACGTTATTTTTGTTGGTTTTCTTTTATTTTTGTCTTGTTGCTCATTTTTTACATCGAAATTGTATACTCCCACTTTCACGTTGTATTGTTTATGTGATCCGACAGTTTGGTGTGCATGGAATATAAAGTACCTCTTCAATTGCACATACAGTTCACACACACACACACACACACAAAAAAGTACTGTAGTCAACTGTATTGAATTTGCGCGCATGCATCACCTTTGCCACTATCGATGACATTCAAGTTTTACTTCGATATGTTCCTTGTTCTGTTTCGATAAACTGAACAAAAAACAATTGATCGGTCTTTTATTTGTAATTTGCAATGAAATTCGTGTAACACTGATGAAACTCTTTGCCTGAATGAATGTCGCATATACAACAATAACACAATCGAAGCTTTTCTTTCAATATACACGTTCACTGCAATGCACTTGAAAGAAAGAAACAAAGAACAATAGCTAGGGGCTTATGTGCAACTCGAATCAGCACTAACTCGTGAAACTTACATACAAATCTCCACACGAATCAACTTATACAAAACACACACACACACAATGAATAGCCAGATAGCTTAGATTCAAATCAAGTCACGAGTCAATTATTAATGTCAACTTTAAATGTCATCAACGTTCAATCGAAGACATTCAATTGGTCTAGTATCCAAAAGAAGCATGTTAATTCTCGATGATCCATATAATTTGACATATTTTATACGAGTATTCCGTGTTTGGCGTAAAAATAGAAAAAGGCATTGATTTTCATAGCAAGATCCAGCTTCGTTGTTTGCATATTCCTTCAAGATTAGTGATCCATTTTGATTAGAGATAAACTTGTTCGGCAACCAATTCTCGTTTCTCTCAAAAAGGAGCTGTGTAAAATCCGTTATTTCAGAACCGTAAACTTGTGCTAAATATCAATACATTTTAAATAGATGGACAGCGCCATCAAGTGGTTTAGTACTTCCTTTTCAAACAATTTATGAGATTTCAACACTTTTGAATAATTATGATTTGTCATTGGAATGTTTTACATTTTTACAAACTCGAAAATTATGAGGCGAATCGATGAAATCATAATTTACTCCAGTAATGTGTGAGCAAAATTTTCTTCAAAGAACCCTGGGAAATCGGGAAAAATTTCGTTTCGGACGAAAATCCCTAGCAAATCGGAAGAATTTTGAAGTCACATGGGGGGTTAACCTCCCTCTCCCCTTCGCACTTTACTGATTTATTCATAAGCCCCTTGAACATATTTGCTACAAATTAGAATAAAAGTAGCTATAGTTTAGATAAACATGAATAGTGTGACAGAAACACAGATATTCCCTACCGATCACGTGTATTCCCTGTATTGAGATAGATAAATAGAGAGAATAAATGCTGTATGTAATAAATTGTTTTTATTTAGTGATTTAATAGCTGCATTTGCTGTTGTCATATTTACGTATCGTATCCATTTGTATCTATATAAATCGCATGGAAACCAGATGCACAAGCTCTATTCTGACTGAAAAATCTACAGAAAAATGAAATACTATCCAAACAACAAAATGTGAAAAGTGCATCGAGCCGAAAGAGTTTTTCATTTTCTTTGATATGTATTGCAATACGTAACGATAAAACAATGAAATTCACTCGAAAAGAATTTGTATCACAAAGTGGAAAAAGCCTTGAAGGTTTTACACACACAGGCACATTCTCTCTATCTTCCTTTTCTCTTTTGCTTTCTCTTCACAAAGCAAACGAAATATTTTTTTTTTTCGAAAGTTGATTTCACTCTACTCTGTATATTACTTGATTAGTAGTCGCATTATTTCAAATCTTCAGCACTAACGTTTGTTCAAGCGTCAGAGTAAAACAAACAATACAACATACACAAACACAAACACATAAATGAATTTAAACAAAAACTCGCGCTAATTTCAAAAGCCATTTTCATAATTGTTGCTTGCCATAAAGATTAAATTCATTTTTCAGTGGCACGTTATTATAATCGGCATAACTAATTTCTTTCTGCTCGATGTAATTGTTTAAATGCTTTAATTGTAATATGGCATGGTAGATTTGAGGAATTTTTCATGATTATTAGACCGTAATTCTTTTTTTAAAACAACAATAAAATAATCAAACGTTTATCAGTTTCATCACGGACGAATGTTGAATGATTAAATAGCATTTGAACAGATAAATTGAAAAACAACAATATTCCTTCAGTTTATATATCTATATATAGTCTAATTTGTGTGTGTTTTTTTTTAATTATCGTTTTGTCGTGTCACTGTTTTACTAAAATAGTTTCATAGCCTTGGATTGCTTTATTTCTAAAATCGAAAATAAGGACTAATTATAAGTCCTTATGTTGTTATGTCATTTCGATAAGATTGAACTAGTCGGGGAGGTAGCTACCACAATTCGATTTTTATTTGGGCATTAAAAATAGAATGTCATGCGTAAGTGTGGTCATGTAATCACATCATGTTAAGATTTCTCATAGAATATGCATGTACTATCGAGGAAAAAAGAATTTTCGAAAAAAAGGTAGGACATTTTTATTGAATTGAGCATTTGTTGAATTTTAAAACCAAAAAATAAAGTCGCGAACGAGACAAACATTTCTTTGGTTCCGTTTTTAAGGGCATGCATGTAATATAACATTAGTTTGTACGATATAGGTAAATGTAAGAGATAAAGGCACAATTGAAAGCACACATCGTAAAAACAAGGATCACATGAAGAAGGAGTAGAAGTCGTTGTAAAACCATACACAATAAAATTGACGCGATAAAAACTTGTTTCAAGTCGACAAATCAAAAACAAAATAAGTCGTTGGGCACGCACACAATAAAATGAGGTAATGAAAGAGTGCCCAGAAATATTGCTTTTCAAGCACGGCTGAACATAGTCAAATGTTGCGTATTCAAAGAAACGTGGTACACAAGCCGCCAACATACATGAATGAAATTGATTGTCACCGGCGAAGAAAAAATCTTCAACAAATGAAAGCTCGTTTCCATTTCTTTTTCATAACATCTTTTCTCTTTTATCAGCCTCTTTCAGCCAAATATTTTCCTTTCTAAGCGAATATGAGATATATTCCTTGCCTTCATTTGTTTTATACACATTTACATGACTTTTTACACGGAACTTGTTCCAATGTAATATGTATGACGAATTTTTCAACGATGGAAAATGTTTGCATTCACGTTATGAATCGTAAGCGTTAATGTTGGCAAAGAGAGCTTGTATGTAGAGAGCATTATTTTATAGATATAAAATCAGATATTCTTTTTACATGTTTCGAAATCATTTTGTGCTGGAGATTTTTATATATTTTTTTTATTATGTTTTGATATATCAGTCATTTTATTTTTAATGGCATGCCTGCGATCTTTTTTCTCCTCTCTCTCTCTCTCTTTCTCTTTTATTTCATTGCTACACGCATTGCTAAAGGTATTATTATTTTTTCATCCAAATATTATGTGTATATTTGAATAGAGTTGTTTACATTTATTGAGCAAACGGTTGCTTTGAAGTGAACACGAAACTAATATTTAGTGAAAGCATTCCAAAAATTCATATAAGTGGGGTTAATTTGTGTGTAAATTTGATACAACTCGCTAAGAGAAATATGATAAACATAATTTTGCATATTAAACTTTATTTATTCAAAGAATGGCTTTTGAATGTAAAAATCATTTTTTTTAAATCGATTTTAATAATTAAAATAGATAGTAAATAATATTTACTAAATATTGATGGTTCGACTAAACATGAATGAGTCTAATTGGTTTTATCTTTTCCTCTCTCTCTCTCTCTTTCTGTTTTATTTTCATCCACAGGGCCTACGACCTAATGTGACAGATGCATGCGAAAAGAATGATCCATGTCAACATGGCGGCATTTGTATATCGACTGATTCAGGACCATTATGTGAGTGCAGAAATCTAGAATACGAAGGTACATACTGCGAGAAAGGTAAGTAATATCCATGTTACCAGAACCATATTCTATATGCGACATAAATATTTAGTTTAGTTCAATGCACTGGACTCGGTGTTTGTGTGGGTGGCTTATTGACATTTGCCCGTTACGTGTCACTATCGAAAATTTATTAGCATATTATTTGTCTGCTCTGAATCTATCACATTTTCTCAATCTCTATCTCGAATTTCTGCAAAATATTTCTCTAAATGTGTATATCGTCATGAACTTATGCTCATCGTTAACCTTCATCAATCCTTTCGTTTACAATTCAATACCGAACTGGTTTTATTGTAATAGTTTATGTTATTTTTGTTGTGAGAGAATTGATTTTTCGATGCTCCGATAAATTCAAAGAATTCTAATTTGTGTGTTTGGTTTACCAACCGAAATTAATTCAGAATGATTCATTTAAATTTTGATGCGCGTACAAATGAGTTAGAGAATAGAAATGTATTCCACCCACATATCACCAATAAAGTGACATTAACTATCTTTTTCTCTGTTTTTGTTGAACGTTTCATTCGTTTTTTTTTTTTTATTTGTCTTTTTAATTTGTTTATCGCTTTTGTTGTGCACTTGAGATTTTTCTACTCTCTCGGTCAAAAGAAAAAAAAAAACTGTTTCTTTTAAATTGTAATTTGTTGATGTTAGCGAATTTCAGTCATATTTGTCATTCTGGAATCTGTCTAGTAACAAATGAATCCCTTCAATTGTTCTTTTAACACACACGTATACTGTTACATAATCATTCTTACTCAAGCATCCCTTCTTTAAGCAAAGCAAAGCAATTCATTTGATTCTTTTTACAAAAAAAAACCCCCATTGATTTCATTTGTCTCTTTCCCCTCTCTGCACTTCAACCATTTCACTGAGCTGTTTTTGTTTCGTAATTGAATAGATGAGAACAGAGGAAAAAAGATTCGATGTCTTTGATTCGATTCAATGAATTGATTCTGTGCATCAATTTATGTGCATTGATCAATATAAGCACGAACCAATCCATTTCATTTCACAAAATTACAATTGTCATTCTCAATGACAAATTCAACTAAAGCAATCTGAAAACGTGATAATAAATGCACTCAAATGGGACAACATTCATAATATATATATTGTGACCACAATAACTGTATCATTTTGTTTGTTTGCTGCAATAAGAACTTGTGGTGATGAATTTAACTATAGTAACATTTGATGGAAATAGAAAAATAGAATTCGTATTTTAAACGATATGATGCGAAATCTTCTTGTTCGTTCCACCACATTTTTGATGATGTTGAAGGTTAGGCATTCTGGGTGAATCTGGTGCCATTTCAATATCACAATTCAATTTCGTTTCACATTGAGCCGATTTTTTGAACACACCGCGGAGTGTGGGAGTTTTTATTCCAAAAATGTTCAAATCAATAAACGTATAAAATGTGTAAATATAAATGTATAATATAAAATATACATACGTATTGTGTATCGATATTTCATTCGACATATAAAGTGTTACATAACCATATTTGTGTGTGTATTTATACATAGATGAATGCAGTAGCTATATAGTAGTTATATCGTCGACACTTGGCATTTTCGAATGAATGTGTTCCATTAGTGTTTGATATTGAATGAAATGAAGAAGAAGAAAAAACTATTGCATTTTCCGGATGAAGTAATAAATTTAATTTAATCCATCAATTACAATCAGATATTGGTGATAAGCGTATGCTAAACACGTTTTGGGTTCATATTCCGAAGCTTTTGGTAAAAATACGGACGCATAGCAAAACCATAGCTGGTCATACATAGACACATACATAAATACACACACACACACACACTCACATTCAGATAAAGAGATTCCAATATCAAATGAATTTGAAAAGGGAGTGGAAAGAACCTTTTTTCCTTGTAATTTAAAATTTAATCCTTGCACACTGCGTGAAAATCTTGCAGATATTTCATAACTCTTCATCAGGATGATTCGAATGTGTGGTTTTTCCATAAAATTCAACATTTTGGATGAGCTTCAAAATGGTATTCAATTCCATACAATTTACAAATGAATTTTAATACAACGAAATTGTGTCAGCGCGTTAATCCAATGTTTTGCTGATGATGATCCGATTTCATTGAGTTGTTGTTACATCGTTTTACCTATTTCGATATCTCATTGAACAGACATACATAAAAAACCATTTTTGTTCGAAGCAAAACATACATAAATCTCATTCTTGACCCAACGTTTATTCAGTATTCATATACATCTTCTTGCCTAATACCTTATCTTCTGATCATTATATTTATATGTGAATGTGAATGGGGTAGAATAAAAACTACTTCTCGAAAAAAAGGTATTTTAAAACGAAACCTAAAAAAAAATTCAATAAAAAGTGAATCAATTTTTTTTTGTCCAATTGAAGTGAATCAAGAAAATTTTGTTCAATAAAAGTGAACCAAAAAAAATTTTCACTCGGTTTTTTCAGTGTAAAATACACTAAAATGAATTTTTTTTTAGGTTCACTTTTATTGCACAAATTTTTTTTGGTTCACTTCAATTGGACAAAAAAAATTGATTCACTTTTCATTGAAAGTTTTTTTTTAGGTTTCGTGTTTGAACATTTTTCGAGAAGTAGTTTTTATTCTACCCCATTCATATCTACCATTTCATCCAAATTACACTCTTGTAAATAGATCGATACTTTCTCATTTGAAGTTTGAACGAGACGAAACGAAAAACGAAAAGAACAAACTTTTTTTCGGGTTTTCTTTGCGAATTTCTTCATAGTCACAAGCAAGAAACTCTCATCCCTGTTCCATACTACATTCACTTTGCTGTTGAAAATTTGCTGCATTGTACGTACTTGCATTTATTTTGAACCAGAAATGTTTCTTTATGAAAAAAGTCAAGAATTTTGTTCATATGTTGTGTCGTCTGACGAGCGAAAAAAAACAACTATTGAAAAACATATACACACACATACACATTTTTATATATAAAATATATATAGACTTGCAACCGTAGACAAATTCATACTCTGTTGAATAGCTAAATGGCTCTTTCATATACAATGTGTTTTGTGTTTAAGTGCTTTTGGTTTTTGTATTGCTATTTGTACAATTTGTTGTTCATTATTGCTCCGTAATTCGAAAATTTGCTGTAAAAGTAGCACCAAACATATCAAACCAAAGAACAACCCACACGACCGAATCTTAAGTCGACAGCTCGACTGACTCGATGACGATTGAGAGACGATTTTTCATTAACTATGAACACTCATACAAGAATACATATACGTACAGAAATGAACATAAGCACATGCATTGTGTTCCAACCAAAAGGGTAATTTTTTTTTCTTCTCAAATGATTATTAATGATTTCATTAAATTTTATTTCCATCAACAAATGAGTAAGTGTAGACAAATTATTTTGTGTTGTTTAAAAAATAAAAAATAAATAAATTAAACGATATTAAAATGAGAAAAGCTTTCAGCACATTTAGCAAAACTCAGTGAAGAAAAAAGTGAAACAAAAAAAAGAAACAATGCATAAATGAAGAATGGGAAATAAAGAATGCAGAAAATGCGAAGGCGGTTTATTTGTATAATCTTCAGTCAGAATGCCGTTCTACTTTTCTTTTTTGTCCATAAATGACGCACAGATGAATGGAAAAACGGAAAATTTCTCATAACATTCCAAACCCCATCTCCACGCAAGATACTGCTGAGAACCGTTAAATAAAATGGCAAAAAAAATAAATAACGAAGAAAAGCGAAAAGTGAGGAGAAACTCTGACTGAATATAGATAGAAAAACGCGCATCATTTGTTCGGCACTATTCATTCTAATTTTCTGTTGGTTGCTGTTTCGATCTTTTTCTGTAGATTTCTTTTTTTTTATTCATTTATAAACTATATTATTAAACAATTATCTATGCGCTATCGAAACCATTAATCATTGTGTTTTCTTTTATTTCCTCTTTTTTTCGCCTCATGTATGTGCTTCACGTTATTGTGACGATGCGGTGTGACGGTGGCATGATTGGCAATATTATTATACTCAGACAAAGCACCATCTGAAGCAACATTTCGGGGATCTGAGTTTCTATCATATGACTTAGGCCAAACTGGAGGTGAACCAATTGTTAGCGCACAGGATGCCATATCATTATACTTTCGAACGAGACAACCAAATGGCCTATTATTCTATACAAGTAAGTAAATACATCAAAAACAGAAACACAGGAATAAACACGCATGCAGAGAATATTTTCACTTGATATCCCCTTCCATTTTTTTTTTTTTGAAATGAATAAAAAAACAATCGACTAAGAATGTATTGTATAACGAACAACAACAAAAAAATATCACATTCACGAAATACACACACACTGCAGTGAGTTGATAGTTTTTTTACTCGTACAAAGTTGATATCCCACGTGAACTGTAAGTAGAAAATATCTTCAACGTTTATCGCTATTGTTTCGAATTGTATTTCTGCTTCCGATGAATGCGAAATACGGATAAGAGTAACATATAAAATGAGCGCATATTTTCTGTGTCATTATAGTATATA